ACCAAAGATCTAAGATCTCCTCTGCAAAAACATCAAAATTAATGACAGATTTCATGTGTCAAACTCATTCCACGGAGGGCCGAATGTCTGCGGGTTTTCACTCCTCCCTTGCACTTGATTGATGAATTAAGGTCACTAATTAGTTAAGAACTCCCCTCACCTGGTTGTCTAGGTCTTAATTGAAAGTAAATACCAAAAACCTGCAGACACTAGGCCAGGGTTCTTCAATTCCGGTCCTGGAGGGCCGAAACACCTCTGTTTTTCATCCTCTCCTTCTAATCAGGGGCTAATTCAGACCTGGGACACCATGTGAGTGCAATTAACTACCAGGTAGAAATAAAAAACAGAAGTGTTTCGGCCCTCCAGGACCGGAATTGAAGAACTCTGCACTAGGCCCTCCATGGAATGAGTTTGACACCCCTGTCTTAGATTAATTCTGTGTATAATGGCTACGACATCTCAAAATGGACAAACAGTAATATTGCTGTTTTTTTCTTGTTTTTCAAGTGAAGTTATTTTAAGGGAGAATGCGAGCACACTCATTCGGTTCTCCTAGCCAAGTTCGGCTAGGAGCCAGATGAACTGAAGCATGCTGACGCCTTAAGTGAGTGTGTGTGGGGGTGTCTGAAAGTGCATTTGATGGTGTATATGGGTGACTGCAATTCTAACGGTGTGTATATTACTGTGACAGTGTGTGTATGTGTTAATGTTACTGTGTGTCTTTGTGTCTGTGTATCTGTGTTACTAAGTCTAAGGTTGTTTCTTCTCTTGTGTCAGTAAGTCGGTAGCAGGACAAAGAGAGCAGAGCAGCAGGACTATGTGGTGTTTTGTTCAGTGCAAAAACAGTGCAATTACCACTGTAATGGAGCCACTGAGCTTGGACTACAGAGCAGTAATGAGCGGTGCTGTTAGTAAAGTGTCACCTACCCTGCACTGCAGGCATCAGTAGGAGGGGGGTGATAACACCATCACTTTACAGCCGCGTTTAATCAAAACAAGCCTTTCCTGGGTTTTATGCTTGAATTCTCCAATTACTGTCTGTGCGTGCGTGTGAATGCCTGCGTGTGTGTGTGCGCGTGTCTTGCGTGCATGAGAGAGAGAGAGAGAGAGAGAGAGAGAGAGAGAGAGAGAGAGAGAGAGAGAGAGAGAGAGAGAGAGAGAGAGAGAGAGAGAGAGAGAGAGAGAGAGAGAGAGAGAACTACAGGACAAAATACAAACCCTCCAACCCAAAAAGTGTGTGTGTGTGTGTATCTATCCTCTTTTCGGGACTTCTTTTTATAGTGGACCAGTTAGTATGCAGCTAATATGAATGCATCTCAAGCCCTCACAACTCTCACCTCACTATGGCATTAAAATATACAAGTAGATACACTGAACTTAATATGCTGCTCATGATTATATGAGGATGATTCATTTGTCCAGATGATTCTCCTGTCCCCACCTGCGCACAACTGGAACAGCAGTGGTTACTGTCTGGAAGGTGGATGGTGGACCTTGATCTATTGGACCACACTAACAGTTCAGGATAAAGGCTTTTATTTTGAGATGCTACAGATACAGGCAAACATACGCACATTCTCTCTTTTTCATTTAGATGCTTTCTATTTCTAATTTAGAGCCCACACATGTAGCCTTCCCTTTTAACATGCTGTATGTGAGTAAAATAAAGTGCGTTTGGACTGCAACTCCATAACTTAGACTGCTACTCCATAACTCACTCAGACTACTACTCCATAACTTAGACTGCTACTCCATAACTCACTCAGACTGCTACTCCATAACTTAGACTGCTATTCCATAACTGAGACTGCTACTCCATAACTTAGACTGCTACTCCATAATATAGACTGCTACTCCATAACTTAGACTGCTACTCCATAACTCACTCAGACTGTTACTCCATAACTGAGACTGCTACTACATAACTCACTCAGACTGCTACTCCATAACTTAGACTGCTATTCCATAACTGAGACTGCTACTCCATAACTTAGACTGCTACTCCATAACATAGACTGCTACTCCATAACTTAGACTGCTACTCCATAACTGAGACTGCTACTCCATCAACTCACTCAGACTGCTACTCCATAACTTAGACTGCTACTCCATAACATAGACTGCTACTCCATAACTGAGACTGCTACTCCATAACTTAGACTGCTACTCCATAACTGAGACTGCTACTCCATAACTTAGACTGCTACTCCATAACTTAGACTGCTACTCCATAACTTAGACTGCTACTCCATAACTGAGACTGCTACTCCATAACTGAGACTGCTATTCCATAACTCACTCAGACTGCTACTCCATAACTTAGACTGCTACTCCATAACTTAGACTGCTACTCCATAACTCACTCAGACTGCTACTCCATAACTTAGACTGCTACTCCATAGCTCACTCAGACTGCTACTCCATAACTGAGACTGCTACTCCATAACTCACTCAGACTGCTACTCCATAATGGAGACTGCTACTCCATAACTCACTCAGACTGTTACTCCATAACTGAGACTGCTACTCCATAACTCACTCAGACTGCTACTCCATAACTTAGACTGCTACTCCATAACTCACTCAGACTGCTACTCCATAACTGAGACTGCTACTCCATAACTCAACGCCAAAGGCAGCAGTTTTTCCACTGTGGAGAGACGTGGGTAAAGAGGCTGGCTAGGTGACAGTGTCAGAAAGTACAGGGTGTCTCTCTGTTCTCTACCCATCCTATAATCTGCAATCTTTTTATTTATTCTCCTGGGTTCAACCAAACCACCGCCTTGTTCATGCCAAACTGACTGACTGTATTCTGTTTAGCTATACATTTGACTCCAATGAGAGAATCCATTGAGTTGTAGATATGCCGAAGTTCCCCAACACTGTATTAGTTCAGCTGCAGTGCCAATACCCATTGCCATCTAACATCCCACTGGTATATAGTGGTTGGGGGGGAAGGCTTGGCAAAATCCACTCAAAACATCTGGTCTGCATTGTATAGGATTAACTCTTTGGCAGCACGCGATATGAGCAATAATATATGAGTGTACACCTGGGGAGTGTTGTAATGACATCCACTAGCAGTCTCTGTGCTGCCAGCTCATGCAACACTTGGCTGGGCCTTTATGTTATTAAGAGACCAGGGCTGCGTCCCAAATGGCACCTTATTCTCTATATAGTGCACTACTTTAGACCAGCGCCCATGCTTTGGCCCCCAGACCAACGCTGGCCCATACAAGGGAAATCAAAACCAGCTTAGTGACTAACTGTCACAGAGGTTATACATTTTAACAAAAGTCTTACTGTGTGACGTGTCATTCATCAATGGGAACATGATATGCTTTTTAAAAGGACTGTAAGTAAAAAGGTTAAATGGTGTTTGGTTTCTCTCTTGTGAGTTTGGAGAATTTACAATATTGTAACTTTGTGGTTATAGACAACAAAGGAAACTCAGACTCTCTCTTTTAAACGTGGATAGAAGATGAGTATAAAGAACGATCGTTTTCTCTTGAAAATAACACATAATCAGGGCTCTACAGTGCGACCATTTTACTATACATTTTTATTTATATAAATTTTGCTATACATTTTTATTTATTTTATTTACTATACAAATGTATGATTCTAGCTTTATCACCTCAAATATTTTTGTGTGCTCCTAAATTTCTTTGTGTGCGCCTACATTTTTCAACTTAGGCGCACACGTGCTCCTTGTAAAATAGGTCCACGTAGAGCCCTACTAACTAATTCGTTTTTGTTAGGTTTCCTTTTTTGAATTCTCGCCCATCTGTCTCTGGGGTCTACGCTAAGTTCTCCTCCTGTGCTCATGTCTGCTGATGCCTGGTGGTAATTGTTTTATGGCAGTAGATTTTTGTTCATTACCTTAGAGTTGAACCCTCAGCAGCTGGTACTGGGTGTGCAGTACGGTTCAGTATGGAGATGGATAATGCTTGCTTTCTCTCTCCTCTCTCAGGGGTTTTGTCGGTTGATAGCACTGCAATCAAACACACACATCAGCTTTTCCCAACTAAATATGATTTATTAAACACCACAGCTTCCCTCGTAAACCTTTACGAAGACCTGTGCGTGTGAGTGCTCATAAAAAATCTGTGGTGGTGTTCTCATTGCTCCAGCGATGTTCTCGGCGTCTGTTACTGGGTGAATTGAGGATCGCGCCACGTGTGGTCGGAATCCACCTTGGCACCCGTCCCTTCCTGATAGCCTGGGGAAGGGAAAGGGGGAAAAAGTGAGATGTTGAAGGGGAAGCATCTAGTTACCTCTCCTTCACACTCCCAGAACTGTCTAAATGTAGTTTTATTGCATTTTCGCTAAGCTAATGGGCAGCCATCTTGAACTTCTACTCTAGAGCCGCTGTGGGTCAAAATATAGAGACACACATACAGACCAATAGACAACGAAGTACTGACACAGGATCAGTTTGGTGAACATCCCAGTTTGGTCAAATTGCCATTTTCAAGTTGGCATCTTCCAGCAACCAAACCGCTCAAATGGCCTGGGTATCCTGGGAGCCTTGAGCGTGTTGCTGGAGGAGCCATGGTGTGCAATGGCTTTAGCGAGCTCTTCTTCTGGAAGACAGAGTCCTAGTTTGTTTCCCTGTCATCTGTCATGAAGACAGAAACCAGCCAGAAAACAACAGGAAACAGCTGCATTGGACTGTGGTGTCATGCATGCAGAGAATCACTACGTATGAAACAAGTAATGTTAGAGTAGAGAGCTTCAGATTCATGTTTTTCAACAAACTGTTGTTGGTTGGACCAGAAGTGACAAATAATCTCTGTTAATAATAATGATTCTTCATGCATGGAGAATCAGACTTGGAAACACAAAACAGTGTTTTGAGTCATTTTAAACTTCTGGCAGATGGATTTAATGAAAGACTGATATCATCTCAAAGTAATTTATTTCCTTTTATGAGGGCTGGAGATTGTATAGTTTGACGTTCCTATGTATTTAGGTGTGTACATACATTAATTAAAAACATGATGGCATATGGCTTGCTGGTATTTATGAGGAAATGTTATGTGTGGTTTGTAGCAGTCTTAAACATGTTTATGTGTTCACGGTTTGTGTGTTCGTTTTTTAAAATCTGTGTTGATTGCTTGATATGTCTTGTTAACGTTGGCTCGGAAAATGTATATACAGTGGCTTGCCAAAGTATTCACCCCCCTTGGCATTTTTCCTATTTTGTTGCCTTACAACCTGGAATTAAAATTGATTTTTTGGGGGGTTGTATCATTTGATTTACACAACATGCCTACCACTTTGAAGATGCAAAATATGTTTTATTGTGAAACAAACAAGAAATAAGACAAAAAAACATAACTTGAGCGTGCATAACTATTCACTCCCCCTCAAGTCAATACTTTGTAGAGCCACCTTTTGCAGCAATTACAGCTGCAAGTCTCTTGGGGTATGTAGCTTCTCTAGGGGCGGCAGGTAGCTTAGTGGTTAAGAGCGTTGTGCCAGTAACCGAAAGGTCGCTGGTTGTAATCCCAGAGCTGACTAGATGAAAAAGGTGAAAAATCTGTCGATGTGCCCTTGAGCAAGGCACTTAACCCTAATTGCTCCTGTAAGTCGCTCTGGATAATGACTAAAATGTAAATGTATGTCTCTATAAGCTTGGCACATCTAGCCAATGGAATTTTTGCCCATTCTTCAAGGCAAAACCGCACCATCCATCATTCCTTCAATTCTAACCAGTTTCCCAGTCCCTGCCGATTAAAATGGGGTGATGAGAGTTGTTGGGTTTGCGCCAGACATAGCGTCTTGCTTGATGGCCAAAAATCTCAATTTTAGACTCATCTGACCAGAGTACCTTCTTCCATATGTTTGGGGAGTCTCCCACATGCCTTTTGGAGAACACCAAACATGTTTGCTTATTTCTTTCTTTAAGCAATGGCTTTTTTTCTGGCCACTCTTCCGTAAAGCCCAGCTCTGTAGAGTGTACAGCTTAAAGTGGTCCTATGGACAGATACAACAATCTCCGCTGTGGAACTTTGCAGCTCCTTCAGGGTTATCTTTGGTGTCTTTGTTGCCTCTCTGATTAATGCCCTCCTTGCCTGGTCCGTGAGTTTTGGTGGGCAGCCCTCTCTTGGCAGGTTTGTTGTGGTGCCATATTCTTTCCATTTTTTATAATGGATTTAATGGTGCTCCGTGGGATAACCCAACCCTGATCTGTACTTCTCCACAACTTTGTCCCTGACCTGCTTGGAGAGCTCCTTGGTCTTCATGGTGCCGCTTGCTTGGTGCTGCCCCTTGCTTAGTGGTGTTGCAGACTCTGGGGCCTTTCAGAACAGGTGTATTTATACTGAGATCATGTGACACTTAGATTGCACACAGGTGGACTTTATTTAACTAATTATGTGACTTCTGAAGGTAATTGGTTGCACCAGATCTTATTTAGGGGCTTCATAGCAAAGGGAGTGAATACATGTGCACGCACCACTTTTCCATAATTTATTTCTTAGAATTCTTTGAAATAAGTTATTTTTTTCATTTCACTTCACCAATTTGGACTATTTTGTGTATGTCCATTACATGAAATCCAAATAAAAATCAATTTAAATTACAGGTTGTAATGCAACAAAATAGGAAAAACGCTAAGGGGGATGAATACTTTTGCAAGGCACTGTAAGTATAGTTGAGGGACAAGTCTAGTCAAGGATGAAAAATATAGCACTCACACCCAAATCCCCATGCAGCCTGGTGATCCTTCTGAGCCTCTCTCTCTCTCTCTCTCTCTCTCTCTCTCTCTCTCTCTCTCTCTCTCTCTCTCTCTCTTTCCTTCCTCCCTCCCTTTCTTCCCTGTGCAGTGACCTCTGTAAATCATAATGTTTATTGGATATGTGTGTGAGAGCAGGTCGGCTCATGCCCTCTCCATAGCACATGTCAACTGGATCCATTTGTCTAACATGATGAGCTAGATGCTAAATCACTCATTTCCCTTTTTAGCACAGGGCTGGATTTACAGTATGTAGTGAGAAAATGATTAATCTGTGATAAAAACTGGGTAAATTGTTACCCTGTGAGAATACTATTCCATGGTGAAGTGTAGTCGCACAGTGTGTGAGTGTGTGTGTGCGTCCGTGCGTGCGTGCGCCTCAAACTTTCCATGTTCACATTAGTTGCTCCCTCCCGCCTCTCCCATGTAGCCTGTTGTTTAATGTTCTGTAATGTTCCAGTGTTTAGTACTAATCAGAAATGACACTGTTGGACACGAGACAGAGTTCTTTAGGACTTAGTCACCTCATCCATGTTCCAGTGCCTTGACCTAGTATGAGCAGTTTGTGTTTAGCCTGCAGAACACTCTGCAATACATATGTTTTCTCTTTACTTTATTTATTTACACAATTCATTGAGTTTATGCATTTTGTTGTTGTTGTTTGTTTATTTGTTTCCATCCGTTTTTAGTTCCTGGTTACAGTTGTTTTATGATTTCCTGTTTTCTGTGTGTTTCCAGGGAGACATCCAGCAGCTGCTGATTGTGGCGGACCACCGTGCTGCCTATGACTACTGTGAACACTACAGCCCTGACTGTGAGGTCCCTGTCCCAGAGCAGCCCCAGGCCCAGGACCCCAACACAGACGAATATGTGAGTCACTTCATCACCTCTCCAGACTCTTACAGTATGTTTACAGTATGTTTTATACTCTTCCTTCAGTTGAGTCTCTCTCTTCTTACGTCTCAAGGTAATTGTCTTCAGGTGGAAGTCGACTTGCTGTGTCAGCTTGAGAAGTTTAACAACTAGATAACAAACCACTCTATATAATACATTGCTCATTTTTTGGACAATCAGAGGTTAAGGGCAACTATTGGTCAGGGTGTGTCCTTTGGGGCATTATGAGGAGTACCTGATCTAGCAAGAACATAAAAGCCAACCAAAGAAGTTCTAAACTCCAGGTTCAAACAGTAAGGGAGTTCAGTGCATTATATCAAATACAGCATGCCCTGAGGCCTGCCCTGAAATTCCCTGATACAGTATTCCTTATTCCCTTCATCAATAAGCGGTTCTTTGATTAGGGATCAGGCTGTGTCGGTTGGACAAACTGCTGGAAAGAAAGAGCTGCATTGCTGAGGGAATAAACACTGTCTGCCAGAGAGAAAGTGCTGAGTGCTGGGAAATCAACAGGGTTGAATCTGCTATGCAGTTATAGAGTGAATCAAATATGCAGGAATGGCAGAGTACTTGCCTAAGCCTGTATCTCCATACTCTATGCTGAATGGAGATTTTCCTTCTATATCTGCCCCCATTCTATTAAACAACTCTGCTGTCCTACCTTGGCATGGTAAGGCTAAATCCTTTGGAGGAGAAGGACATTATTAATTCAACAAGCTGACCAACCACGCCCTTGGACTCTTTCCAGTTGAAGTGGTGATCTCAGCCTTCTAATGAAGTGAACTAGTCAGAGAGAGAACCAGAACCATAGTGTGCCCAAACACAGCTCCTGTACCTCTCATCTCAGCCCATCTTGAGCCATCTCGAACCAAAGGGAACCAGTTCACCCTGACATAGTAGAACCGTAGTTCTACAACTACAGCCAAACCAGAGTCAAACGTAACGGTCACAAACACATACCTCAAACATGTTTCAGACCTGTTTTGGGTTTGTTCATAATCTGGTTCCAATAATAGGGCTAATATGGAGCAGTGCTCACAGAAAAAAATACTTCAGAGTGACTGATGCAACTAGTACCTCTCTCCCTTCAGTACATGATCAGGATGAGCTCTAATTACAGAGAGCTATGGCATGCCATCTTTCTGTGCATTGTACCTCCATAAGCAAATAAAGTAAGCAAGCACAAAATGGAAGTGCCCCCCAATCCAGCCGACCCACACTTCTTAAAAACCTTCACACCTGATCTCCCTTCGTACGACTTCACTAACCCCCCCCCCCCCCCCCCCCCCCCCCCCGTTAGAATGGGTCGGGTAGGGTTGACATTGTTGGCGTGGTTTCTGATCAGGTTTGGACTCAGCCTTTTGTCGGGGATTCCCAGCATCCACATCATCCAGTGGAGGCTGCTTAGGGGAGTTTGGCTCATAATGTCTGGAACAGAGTATTTGTGACATCATCCCAATATCAGACAACTCTGATGGTAAAAATAAAGGAATATTGGTTGTTATCATAATGTTAGGCTGTTTTCATAGAGTACAAAGCAATGTCTTTCTTTCTCTCTTTCTCTGTCTGTAGTCTAATATCTGTCTCTCTCTCTCTCTCTCTCTCTCTCATCATTATGTGTATGTCATTTCATTCATCAACCATTATCCATTTCCCTGTATGTATAGAGCACAGAGGAGGAGGACCCTATCTGTTGTCTTACAGTACAATTAAATGTCTTTCTCTCTCTCTCTCTTTCTTTGCCTCTCTCTCTCTGCCCTCGAGACTCTCGTGCGACTCCGAATGGCGGGCCCTCATCGTCGAGAAACTCATCAGCTCTCTCTCAATCTCTCTCTCGCATGCGAAGCGTCCGTCTCTCTCTCTCCTCTCTCTCACGCGAACAACACCCCGCACAGCCACAACACACACACGACACACACACACACACACACACACACACACACACACACACACACACACATCTCTTATTATTGTCATTTTCAACCATCAACCATCATCCATTAAATCAATAATATACCAGAGGGTGTGTGTTATGGTGATTATTGGAACGACATGATGCAGTCACTAGGAGCAAGACGCAAGTTCTGTCGGCTAATAATCGGCATAACTCACACCCTCAAGTATATGATTGCGTATATGAAACGGTTTTACACAGAAAGCAAGAACTATGAAATAATAACTTTATGGTCAACCATTACTGTTAGTGGAATGATCATAAAGTGATTAGGTCATTTTTCGATGACGCATGACTAGCCGTGGTGTTGTGCTCAATAATACCACGGCTGGAACGCATTTTTGACCAATCCGATTGCTTGGCGGGAACTAACCGTTTCATAATTCCCTGTATTGTATAGAACACAGAGGAGGACAGCTATTACTATGAGTATCCTTACTATGAGGACATGGATGGGAAGCCTTCTGAGTCCACCTCCGAGACTGAGACTGACGAAGCAGCTGGACCTGCCACGGAAGACGTAAAAGTACTGTCCCCTTTCTGTCCCTTGTCCCATGTCCCCTGTCCACTATCCCCTTTACCTTGTTCCCTGTCCATTTAAAAGACTACCGTCTATCTCCATTTTAGTGGGGTGGGACTTGACACCCTCTCCCCATTCACATACCTTGTTTTAAAATGTAGTGATTGCTGTTGATGCTAGCTGAGTATGTTCCAATGTCAGTTTCGAATGCCATCTTGGTCAGGTCTCCTTTTGAAAAGCTATTCTTTATGGCTTTAAACTAAAGTTACTGTACATTAAAACAATTCATCAAAAGCATTGTATAGGCTACAGTTTGTCCTCCTAACATTTTGTTGTCCTCCTCTTCAGGTGTCCGTGCCAGAGAGCGGCCGTGTGGTCACCTCCGTCAAAGAGTTGGTGTCATCAGTCAGGGACACAGCCAGTCAGGGAGTCGAGGGCAAAGTGTTGACCGCCATTTCTACCGGCAGCGCCTCCGCTGGAGCCGCTGCAGCAGGAGCCGGAGCCGCCGGCGAGGAGGCCTACGGAGAAGAGACCAGCCCTTACGACGGCTATGATACAGATAGTTACGGAAACTACGATTCATACTACGACGAGTCCACGGCCGCGCCCGACGGCACCCGCAGAGTCACCATCAGCAGCTCGAGCACAGGGACGGGCGCAGGGGTGGAGCTGGACTTGGGGCTGGGGTCAAAGTTTGACCTGGGCACGGGAGCAGAGATTGAGAAGGTCATCACCACTAGTGGAGGAGTCACCATCACACGCAACAAGACCTCGGTGAGTTACACACACACTGTTGTTGTGTGCTTGTGTGGTAGTGTCCTATGTTTTACCAGTTAGATGTTGTATCTGAAATGTGTCCTAGAACATCTTATCATATCTCAGTGTGTCCCATTGATTCACTGCCCCTGTCCTTTCCTCTCTGGTCTCTCAGGCTGGAACAGCCTACGATGACAACTATGGCGAGGGCTATGACCTGTCTTATGGAGAGGGAGAGGAGTACAGCATCGGCGGCGGTGGCCACGGCAGCAGAACCAGCAGTAGCAGTAGTACTGTAGAAATCGGTGCTGGTGGTGGTGGATCTGTATCGGTCGGGGGCGGTTCTGTTTCCGTTGGGGGCGGTTCCGTTTCCGTTGGGGGTGGTTCCGTCTCTGTAGGTGGATCTGCCAGCGCCGGAGGCGGGGCGGCAAGAGCAGGAGCTGGAGCCGGGGATTCGGTTGCTACGGGAGCCGGGGGCCAGGGTGTGGCTATTGAGGGAGACTACACTGATCTGGAGGGTGATCGGTTCAAGGAGGAGTCCATCTCTGAGTATGGGGATGCAGACTATGGCTATGGAGACCTGGACTACGATGGACAAGAGGAGAAAGTGCTGCCGGCCGAAACAGAGTACTACGGACAGGTAAGGACGATGATGATGATGACGATGATGATGATGGTGGTGGTCATGATGATGGTGGTGGTGATGATGATGATGATTATGATGTCGGCGATAGACTATGTTGATGATGATGGTGATGGTAATGATGATGATGATGATGATGATGATGGTGATGGTAATGATGATGATGTCCTCTGCAGGTTGATGGGTCTCGGGGAGAGAAGGGACAGAAGGGAGAACCTGCTATCATTGAGCCTGTGAGTATAATTTATCCTACATGTGTGTGTTTCACACGTGTGTGTGTCTGTGTGAGGGTGTGGGTGTGTGTTTCACACGTGTGTCTGTGTGATTGTGTATATGATTATTTCAAATCCAAGCCATGAGTCATCACACACCACTGACTGACAATCATATAAATCACATGATGCAGTATAACACACTGGTCCAAAGGGTGAACATTTGGAGTATGGATACATAGAGGATTGTGAATAATCATCTGGTGTGTAAACACATTGGGCTAGCATAAACACTGACCAGGGAGAGCCCAGCTGGGAAAGGGAGGGGAGAGAGAGCGAAAGAGAGAGAGAGAGAGAGAGAGAGAGAGAGAGAGAGAGAGACAGAGAGAGAGAGAGAGAGAGAGAGAGAGAGAGAGAGAGAGAGAGAGAGAGAGAGAGAGAGAGAGAAGACAGAGGAAATCTCCCAAAGACTTCCCAACCTCCAGCAATCTAAAGACCTCACAGATGGAATATAGCCAGTCCCTACTTGGGATTTGAAATCATGTACTCCAGCACTCCACATTCCTCAGGGGACTGTGTTAACTTGCGGAATTAATGCCATGGCTATACCTGATATGCCAATGTCATCACTGGCAGCCAATTCCTATGTTGTGATCCAAAGCGCACACATTAAGAAAAAATATATTCATAATTCAATACCCCAATCTGACCTGAGTCACAGAACCACAGCTGTCTCCCTATAAGCAAATGTCACTGGGCTCAACTGTATGTGTGTGTGTTTTACCACCCAGAATGAGCCTGTGAGTCGTCCATCTTGTTCAGATTGTAAATAAACAAGGAACAGAGCCCCCTCCTTTCAGTCCAATCCCCATTTGTCTGCAGTGACGACAACCCCCACCCCCCTGCCAGCCCCATCCAGCCCACCCATACCACACTCATACACACCACACATACACACACACACACACACACACACACACACACACACACACACACACACACACACACACACACACACACACACACACAAACACACACACACACACACACACACACACACACACACACACACACACACACTCCTCTATCTGTTTACTGCTGTGATTAGTCACTCTAAGCCTGAGTCAAACATCCCTGGCCATACATCTACACAGGACCACTAAGTGTTTGACAGACAGACATACTATAGGAAAACTGTGAAATGATCTCACACACTTATCCATAAACACACATCAAACAAAAGACACAGGTATGGCTCTGGGAATGTTAAAGACCTAGGTATGGCTCTGGGAATGTTAAAGACCCAGGTATGGCTCTGGGAATATTAAAGACACAGGTATGTCTCTGGGAATGTTAAAGACACAGGTATGGCTCTGGGAATGTTAAAGACCCAGGTATGGCTCTGGGAATGTTAAAGACCCAGGTATGGCTCTGGGAATGTTAAAGACACAGGTATGGCTCTGGGAATGTTAAAGACACAGGTATGGCTCTCGGAATGTTAAAGACACAGGTATGGCTCTCAGAATGTTCAAAAGTGGTGCAATAGAGGTCTCTTTTATCTGTAAAATAGATGTGGCTTGGAGAAGATTTAGTTGGTTCTAGAAAAATGCTGAAGTCACGTCATTCTTACCCAGGCTTTAGTTGTGTTATGTGATGTTTTTAACACTGTCATCTCAACAAAGCAAGAAATCAAATTGTCACCACGAAAAAAATGAAGAATTTTCACTGTCATCACATAGTGGATGAGCATGTTCTTGTCACAAAGTCCTCTCATACCTTTGTCATAACACTTCAGCCCATCTGTGAGCGTTTATGTGTACACACTGCAGAGACAGAGACAGACAGACAGACAGACAGAGACAGAGACAGAGATATGTGATTTTGAAGTATGAGCAGAGGGTAAGGGTCATGTTCAGAGAGACAGGGAGTGCTTACTATGAGACCCCCCCCCCCACTCTCCTGTTGCCATCTCTCCTGTTGCATGCTGGGAGCTGGAGGAGCAATTTCCCACCTTGCTTTTAGCTGATTGGACAGAGACATATCTCCTTGACAGCTTGACTTGGTCCTCCGTCTCTCAGGGTAAAGCTTGGTGCTTGCAATGCCAGAATAGTAGGTTTGATTCCTGGGACCATCCATACGTAAAATGTATGCACACATGACAGTAAGTCGCTTTGGATAAAAGCGTCTGCTAAATGACATATATTATCATATTATTATAATTATAATATGACTTCATGTGTTTGTCATTACCCATAGTCCCCTGTTCCATGTTGAACATGTTCCATCAGCCTCCTGCCTTGGTCCTGATCGTTATTCACCCTCTGCCTGTTCCTCCCAGATTCATGTGAAGCGCTAAATGAAATGACAGGCAGGAATTTATATTAAATCACCAAACACTCCCCTGGATGGAGAGTAGATATGCAGAATGTGTCCGGACACGTATATATATATGCACACATACTGAAGAGATACATGCATATGAATGAATGTATACGCAGGGTTGCATACACACACACACACACACACACACACACACACACACACATATACACACACACAGACCCACACAAGTACACAAGTACACACACACACACACACACACACACACACACACACAAACACACGCACACAAACAAACAAACAAACAAAGGGTCATAGTGTCATGTGTTAGTGGCGATGCTGCGTACTCTACAGGCTGCAGCCATCCATCTCTCTGATGTGTTTGTATGTTTCAGGGAATGCTGGTGGAGGGTCCGCCCGGTCCTGAAGGCCCAACAGTAAGTACCTCTCTCTATTTTCTCTCTCTCTCTCTTTCTGTCGGTCTCTCTCTCTCTCTCTCTCTCTCTCTCTCTCTCTCTCTCCTCTCTCTCTCTCTCTCTCTCTCTCTCTCTCTCTCTCTCTCTCTCTCTCTCTCTCTCATCCAGTCTCTTATGATTTCAGTGGAAGATGACAGTTTTCTGACATTGTTTCAGCCCTATGTTCTATTTGGTCTGTCTCTGGGTTAGGAATATTGTGTATCCTCCACTGTTCGTCTTGGAATGACTAGTGTTACATTAAGAGAGAGTGAAACTGCAGCCCAATCAGTGTGATTTTGACAGGCCTCCTTGCCAGTCCTGAGATTTAGTAATAGGAATGGTAACAGCACAACACACCACTTGCCCCAGAGGTTCTCAGATCAGTTAGTATTTATTTATTTACCTATATGCACACTGTTGTACGCTATTAGACCGCAAAAATCAGAATCACCTTTATTTGTTAAGGACATTTACACATACTCCGAATTTGACTTGGTGATATGGTGCTGCTAGTGATAGACAACATTTAGAGACAGAATACAGACAGTAGAAACAGCCGAGAACGATAGAGTAAGAGTTAGTAGTGAAAGAGAGAAGGGGCCCCAGTTAAGATTTATCATCTAACAGACTGCCTGCCCATATTTCCTCATACATTCCTCTCTCGTTCTCTCTCTTATGTTTCCGCGTACAACTGTTACGCAAGTTTGCCTGAGTAGCATTTTGTTTTGTGTGTGTGTGAGCATGAGCGTGCGCGTGTATGTGAATGTGTGTATGTGGGTGTCTGTGTTTGTGTGTGTGTGTGTGTGTGTGTGTGTGCCGTCCTCAGTCTCTGATAATATGTATTGTTGTGTACAGGGTCTCCCTGGACCCCCAGGTTCCTCCGGCCCCCCAGGCAGCCCCGGAGACGCAGGAGACAGGGTGAGAAACAAGGACACACAGACAAATACAACAATTAATGAAAAATACCACAGCCACATGCCAACCACCACCAACACATCACATAGCCATTGTTTCAACACAACCACAAGGTATAAATCAAGCTGTTGATATACAGCAAGGTATCAATTAGTCACCACCACTACCCAAAACATGGGAGAACACCTGTACAAGTTTAGTCATTCCTGGCATCATGTATGTACTCTCTTCTCTCTCTCTCTCTCTCTCTCTCTCTCTCTCTCTCTCTCTCTCTCTCTCTCTCTCTCTCTCTCTCAGGGTCCTAATGGTCGTGCTGGTCTTCCTGGTGCTGATGGTCTGCCAGGACCACCAGGGACTGTCCTGATGCTGCCTGTAAGTAAATACTATAATACTATAGTTTAGAATACACTGATCTAGAGTACATACAGATCTATATCTAGAACAGAATACATATGGAATGGGTGCGTCTAATATTCAGTAATAACACCTGTTGCATATTAGACTCATGCATTCCATATGTTTTCTCAGATGACAGATGACTGTATGTTTATGCACATGTGTACGTTTACAACTGTATGTACAATTCTGGCTTGTTGGCTATTGTGTGTGCATTTATCATCTGGCAGACTTTCTTTTTAAACTTCCATCCTAATCTTGTCCCTTCTGTAATGCTACCCTTAAGCTATCGTCATCGGCACTTCAACATATTTGTTCGTGATTACTTCAGACAAGGCTAATCCTCTCTTCTCTTCATTGCATTATTTCACTCTTTGATTCATAGAGTGCTGTTGATATCGGGTCAGAGTTCTGTATGGTTTGGGTCACAGTGTCCTGACCTGTTGTGATGTGTGTTTTCCTGACTGTGTCAGAGGGGTTTAGAGATCTCTGTTCTGTTAGCCAGTGCAGGGAGAGAGTTTCCTCCTGAATCAAACACTCTTCCTCTCTGGTCCTGCCCCAGATAATCCAATCAGAGAATGCTGTGGTATAAACCAGTCAATAAGCACTCTATCACCTCCTAGTGGAAGCTGTAGGAAGCTGTGGTTCTGCTGTCATTTAGACTCACTCTATGGGAACTTCTCAATTGCATACTCCTTGCGTCTTCTCTCCTCGTCGCCTTCTCAAAACCCATTGGATGAGAAAGCCAGAAGTCCCTCCCCTCTGACCTTCTCCTCCAATGGGTTTTGAGAAGGAGATTTTGAGATTTTCCCTCTTTCTTATTCCATGCCCTTCCTCTCCCCTCTCTCCTCCCATTCTTACTAATGAGACAACTACCTCACACCATTCCACAATCCTCGGCCACCCACTTTCCTATTGTCCTCTGACTCCAGCCCAAATGACATATCTACACTCGTAGAAAAAAGGGTTGCAAAAGGGTTCTGCCGCTGTCCCCATAGAGAACCATTCTTGGTTCCAGGTAGGACCCTTTTTGGTTCCAGGTAGAACTATTTTGGGTTCTATGTAGAACCCTCTGAGCAAAGGGTTCTACATGGAATCCAAAAGGGTTCTACCTGGAACCAAAAGGGGTTCTTCAAAGGGTTATCCTATTGGGACAGCCGAAGAACCCTTTTTGGTTCTAGATAGCACCTTTTTTTTCTAAGAGTGTAGGTGTCTTACAGACAGGAAGTAATCCAGCCTCAGACAGGAAGTAGAGCAGGTCTAAGTGCTCCTTCCTGTGATCACAGCTGCTAAAACTAAAGGCTAAAGTTAGTAGCTAGCCTTTCTGTTTGTTCTGCTGCTGAGTCTTCTGCCTGTACTGCTGCTGCCTGTACTGCTACTGCTGATTGTGATGACTTGACCAGATGTCCTGCTGGAGTCTCAGGAGTCCACAGAGCAGAGCAGAGAGCCTTCTGGAAAAGCTGTATGTGTCGGGCCAAGACGTCTGGTCAAGGTGTACCAGTAAAGCATGGGCCCAGTGCTTAATATGACAGGAACCTCTCCGTTTTGGACTGTTTCGTTCCGGGACCCATTTGGCCGGATCCGGTACCTCTCGAGGCATTAAAGATAATCAATGTAAAAATTCAAATAAAATCGATCAAAGTTAATTCGAGTTACCTCTTCAAATTAATTGTCCTGCCCATTGTAACCTATGTTTGAGACCAATGTGTGGACATGGCTGTGTGAGTAGCGTGCCTGTATCTCTCACAGAACTAAAATGAGATTTGCTTTCTATAATCTCTCTCCTTCTCTCTGCTCTGATAGACATGAGCCTGCAACGCTCATCTCTCCAGTGTTGCACTTCATCATTTATTTTTTTATCAAATCAAATCACATCAAATGTTATTTTTCACATGCGCCGAATATGACCGTGAAATGCTTACTTACAAGCCCTTAACCAACAATGCAGTTTGAACCCTCCCGTTGTCCTAGGGTCAAAATGACCCGCCACTGTGTTGAACCAACTTTATTTAATTTTTATATTTTTTGGATCATTTGTGAGAAGGAGGCAGTGATACTTTCTTTAAAGTCTCACTGCCTCCTTCTCACAAATGATCCCCAAAATATAAAAATTAAATAAAGTTGGTTCAACACAGTGGCGGGTCATTTTGACCCTAGGACAACGGGAGGGTTAAGAAAAAAGAGTTAAGAAAATATTTACTAAATAAACTAAAGTAATAAAATAACAATAACGAGGCTATATACAGGGGTACCGGTACCGAGTCAATGTGCGGGGTACAGGTTAGTTGAGGTTTAGCCGCGCGAAACCGAGCTGCAGCACCCCTGATAAATGTAAATACATTTGCCAAAGTTATAGAGTAACTGCTGTCTGTTCAGATTTGTTTTTATATATTTCAGAATAGCCTACTACACCATGAAAATGCTGAAAATTTAGCCACAGAGGAACAATAGCATGAAATGCGTTTATAAAAGGCCACATTTTTCCCGGACCCTAGGCTACTAAAATGTTCCTCATGTGTAAGTGCCTCTACTCTGTGCTCTATGCCTCTACGCTAATGTGATGATATGCATGCAATGGTTTTTTATAAGAGGATTTTTTTTAATGCGTTCCGGTGCCTCAGAGCTCCCCAGGTCACCCCGCTCTGGCGCTCACTTTTTGTTCCGGCACCTCCCGATTTACAAATGAAGCACTGGCCCCTTTAAATGTGGTCCTTGTGTTAAAACATAATGGAGCTATGCCCTTTATTAGGTGTCGTTGTGAACAATAGCCATGTCAAGATGTTACATCTAATCATCTTATTGGCCAATTATTGTTTGATTTTGCGTATTTCGATAGAGTGCTTGGTAGTTAGATGCCATTTGTGTGCCGTAGGTTTCTGCTTGGTCACAGTTCAAATCCCCTCCTCTCTCTCTCTCTCTCTCTCTCTCTCTCTCTCTCTCTCTCTCTCTCTCTCTCTCACGCTCTCTCTCTTCCTCTGGGCATGGTTGGATCTCTGTGTTATAGTTTGGTTCTGTGAGAGGATGGTGAGGCTCTTGAGGGACATTGTGATTTTGGTTCCTAGCAGTTGGTACAGCTAATTTGATGCTGGCAGATCATTTTGTGCTTGGACTGTATTATGGAGGAATGTCCAAAGTATATCTCACAGTGTACCAGGGAGGGAGGGAGGGAGGGAGGGAGGGAGGGAGGGAGGGAGGGAGGGAGAGAGAGAGAGAGAGAGAGAGAGAGAGAGGAGAGAGAGAGAGGGAGCGAGAGAGGGAGGGAGGGAGGGAGGGAGGGAGAGAGAGAGAGGAGAGAGGAGAGAGAGAGAGAGGGAGGAGGGAGGGAGGGAGGGAGGGAGGGAGGGAGGGGGAGCGAGAGAGAGAGTGAATGCAGTAGTGAGAAAGAGAATGGAAGGGTGAGATGGAGTGAGATATGGGGAGAGGGAGAGAGAGAGGGCGAGGGAGAGGGAGAGAGAGGGAGAGGGAGAGAGAGAGGGAGATCAAATTTGAGGTTCACTGGGAAAAATATAGATGAAAGATATCCCTAGCTAGAGAGATGTCGCTGTGTTGACATATACATTTTAGTCATTTAGCAGACGCTCTTATCCAGAGCGACTTACAGTTAGTGAGTGCATATATTTTTCATACTGGTCCCCCGTGGGAATCGAACCCACAACCCTGGCGTTGCAAGTGCCATGCTCTACCAACTGAGCTACAGGATGCAAAGTAAGGTTTGCCAGGTTCATGCAAACCTGTGTTCAATGTTATTTTTCCCTCCATAGTAACAAGGTTGTGGTGACGGTTGTGGTGACAAATCCGCCCCACTGGTTTGTTGTTATTCATACCTACAGTAACAGAAACAGAAACACATCTTTGTAGGATCATCCAACTGTTTGCATTACTCACATTTCACCACTAGATGCCAGTATAGGCATGTGGACTTGTGATGGGAAAAGGATCATAACCAGGCAGTTTATGTACTGTATGAGCTAAGGTTTTTACAACTTAGTCGTTTTAATGCAAGCCTGAATTAGAATGTGCTATTTTTTAAAAACGTTTTTGAGTACAATCATATTTTCTTTATTTATTTAGACATTCTGTTTGAAGAATGGGTAACTTAGCCTGTAAGATGACTTGGCATTTTCTCAACCCGCTGTCTCTCTTCTTGCTTTGTCTGTCTCTGTCTCTGTCTCTGTCTCTGTCTCTGTCTCTATGTCTGTCTCTGTCTCTGTCTCTGTCTCTGTCTCTGTGTCTGTCTGTCTCTTTGTCTGTCTGTCTCTGTCTCTATGTCTGTCTCTGTCTCTGTCTCTGTCTCTGTCTCTATGTCTGTCTCTGTGTCTGTCTCTGTGTCTGTGTATGTCTCTGTGTCTGTCTGTCTCTTTGTCTGTCTGTCTCTGTGTCTGTCTCTGTGTCTGTCTGTCTCTTTGTCTGTCTGTCTCTGTGTCTGTCTCTGTGTCTGTCTCTGTCTCTGTCTGTCTCTTTGTCTGTCTGTCTCTGTGTCTGTCTCTGTGTCTGTGTCTGTCTCTGTCTCTGTGTCTGTCTGTCTCTTTGTCTGTCTGTCTCTGTGTCTGTCTCTGTGTCTGTCTCTGTGTCTGTCTGTCTCTTTGTTTGTCTGTCTCTGTGTCTGTCTCTGTGTCTGTCTGTCTCTTTGTCTGTCTGTCTCTGTCTCTGTCTCTGTCTCTGTCTCTGTCTCTGTGTCTGTCTCTTTGTCCATGTACCTGTATCTACTGGACTGTCCTCACCTGTTGGGTCTGGTTCTGAGTTCTGAATTCTGAGTTCTGAATTCTGAGTTCTGCTCTCCCCCTCAGTTCCGCTTCAGTTCTGGAGGAGACTCTGGACAGAAGGGACCTCAGGTGTCTGCTCAGGAGGCCCAGATGCAAGCCATCATGCAACAAGCTAGGGTAAGGGTTACACCCACAAGTGCATACGCATGTACACACACACAAACACACAAGTGCATACACACACATGCACACACACACCATTTTGTACCTCTCTAACTGTACCTCTCTAACCGTTTTCTCTCTCCAGCTGGCGATGCGTGGTCCTACTGGCCCTATGGGTTTGACTGGTAGATCTGGCCCTCTGGTACGTACCAAAGTCTTCCTCAGTCTCCTCACACACACACACACACACACACACACACACACACACACACACACACCTGTCGCATACACAGCCTGAGGAGAATAACTTATTATTGTGCTCATAGTTGATAAGATCCTATTATAATTGTAATGCAGATGCTACAACAATAATAGTGTTTGGATCTGAGTCTACCGTGACCTTATTGTGTTTGTCCTCCTCCCAGGGTTCTCCAGGTGTGGCTGGACTGAAGGGAGATTCTGGAGAGTCCGGTCCTCAGGTAAGACAGATGGAAGTTTCTAGACCACTAGAACCACTGGAACTGTTCTCCTGTAATCTCCAGCCCAAGTTCAGGGCTCTGCTATAAACGCAATTTACTTGGGTTCTTTTGTTAGGGTTATTTTGTTGGGGTTCTGTGGTAATATTCTCTTGTTGGATTCTCCAGTAACATTCTTCTTTCTTACAGGGACCTCGAGGACCCATGGGTTCTCATGGACCCTCTGGGAAGCCTGGCAGAAGGGTAAGTGTGAATGGGAGTCTTGCATGGATATTTAAAAAAAAATACAATTTAAGTTTGGCGTGCAGATTAGGATAGTTTGGGCCTCCCGAGTGGCGCAGTGGTCTAAGGCACTGCATCACAGTGCTTGAATCACAGTGCTTGAGGTGTTACTACAGACCCTGGTTCAAATCCAAGCTGTGTTGTCACCGGGAGTCCCATTGAGTGGCGCACAAGAGGGTTTGGCTGGGGGGGCTTTACTTGGCTCATCGTGCTCTAGCGAGTCTTGTGGTGGGCTGGGTGCCGACCGGCTGACTCCGGTCGTTGGTTGAAAGGTGTTTCCTCTGACACATTGGTGTGGCTGGCTTCCTGGTTAAATAAATAAAAATTAGAATTGTGCCCTTCAGAAAGTAGGGTGAAGCGGGTGTAACTGTTGATGGGTGTTGTAACATCTTTCATCTGTTTTTCCAGGGACGTGCTGGTTCTGATGGAGCCAGAGGCATGCCTGGTCAGACCGGAACCAAGGGAGACAGAGGGTTTGATGGTTTGGCTGGACTGCCTGGTGAGAAGGGACACAGAGTAAGTCACGTTGTTGTTGTTTTTCAGCTCCGTTGTATTATGCCGGTGTTTGGATGTCTTTTTTTGTGTGTACGTCCCACTGATCTTCTGTCTGTCCTTTAGGGTGAAGCTGGACCCCATGGACCTCCCGGACCCACAGGAGAGGATGGAGAGAGAGTAAGTACCACCACTCAACCTCCATCTCTTATCATCCCTACCCAGTTTCTTTCTCTCTCTATTTCTTAATCTTCCCACTCTGTGTGTGTATGTGTCCATACGTCAGCACATCAGTATGGTGTGTGTGTGTGTGTTTCTATGTGTGTGATGTGTATGATTTGTCAGTGTGTGATCTAAGTGTCTGCCATCTGTCATGTAGATGAGCCTTCTCCTCACACTCTCCATCTCATTTTGACACCCCCATATCACTCCATCACCTGGCCCAATCACTACATTCCCGTCCTTTCCTCCTTTCACACCTCCCCTTTCCCTTTCCCTCTCTCCTATACTCCAAATTCCCACTTCCTGTTCTGACCATGTCACTTCCTGTTTCCAGGGAGACGATGGAGAGATCGGGCCACGGGGTCTGCCTGGTGAGCCAGTAAGTGTTTTGTTATGATGTCTATCCCCTTACTTACTGTACAACTCAATAAAGCATGTGTTGACATATACATTCTGGATTCAGATCCATACATGGAGTCCAGTTTATGGTATATGTACAGAGTTTTTTTTTTACACAGGTTTAGTAACTAGGTAGCCTAGACCCTATATATGAATCCCAGAGGGTGAGAAGCCCATAGATTCCTCTTGTTCACAGTCTACTCTCCTCACGGCTGGTAGACAAGCTTCCCTTCCTCTCTGACAGGATTTATCCTGAGGAGAGGAGGAACAAAACAGGCAGAGAGAAAACGAGTTAGAGAAAGAAAAAGTCTGGGAGAGCATCATTATTGATAGATTGTGTGGTGCAGTATTTCAGACAGACCACCAGGGGGTGGTACACCACTGGTTTTCTGAGATACACTAGCTGTGAGAGGAAGGGGCACTGAGTCACGGCACTGAGATAAACACTGTGTGATAGACACAGCAGTGAAGAGAATAGACATCAAGAATAGTGAAATCAATCTATGATGGTACAGAAAGATTCAAGAAGCCTCAAGCACACTTTAGATGAAAATCCATTATTCATTGTTGTCACAAGCTATTTTATTAACATCATATATTTACATTTAACGAACATTCTATATTTATTTGATAACTTTTGAAATGGATCATGGCATTGATGTTGGCATTTTGATGTATTTCTCTCTCTCCAGGGACCTCGTGGTTTGCTGGGACCAAAGGGACCTCAGGGACCTCCCGGACCCCCTGTACGTTTAGAACACACACACACTTTCCTTTCACACACAGTTCAGACAGAGATTCAGCAGTATTGAATTGCATTTCTCCAGCTCATAGCAACACCAACAAAAGACTAATGACACCCATAGGTAAATAACACATCCAGTATCTACAGTACATAGGTAAATAACACATTCAGTATCTATAGTACATAGGTAAATAACACATACAGTATCTAAAGTACATAGGTAAATAACACATCCAGTATCTACAGTATATAGGTAAATAACACATCCAGTATCTACAGTACATAGGTAAATAACACATCCAGTATCTACAGTACATAGGTAAATAACACATCCAGTATCTACAGTACATAGGTAAATAACACATACAGTATCTAAAGTACATAGGTAAATAACACATCCAGTATCTACAGTACATAGGTAAATATCACATCCAGTATCTAAAGTACATAGGTAAATAACACATCCAGTATCTACAGTACATAGGTAAATAACACATCCAGTGTCTACAGTACATAGGTAAATAACACATCCAGTGTCTACAGTACATAGGTAAATAACACATCCAGTGTCTACAGTACATAGGTAAATAACACATCCAGTATCTAAAGTACATATGTAAATAACACATCCAGTATCTAAAGTACATAGGTAAATAACACATCCAGTATCTACAGTACATACATCAGATGATAAGAAAGGTTATGGCTGTAAATATGAAACTGTTTATGTCCGTCACTTTAACTTCTCTACATCATTTGGACTTGAGGGAAATCTCCCCTTGTTCCAATATGATGTTTCCTGATAAAGGTAATTGATATGGTAAAGTACACTGAGAAGATTGCAGCCTGTATCTACAGTGTATATGTCAGTCTATCCCTGAGGCACTCCCCATGTCTGAGGCACTCCCCATGTCCTTGTCAGTATTCTCTTTGTGTTCAGCTGAGTGTATGGCTTCATGTATTAAGTAGAGGCTTCATCTCATCTGATGGTGTGTTGCAGGGTGTGACTGGAATGGATGGCCACCCTGGACCCAAAGGAAACATTGTAAGTACTGATAACGCCCAGCTAAGGACTGTTCTTAGGCACGGTGCAAAGCAGAGTAGTAGTGTGACTACTCCACACACACCATTTGCATCTGACGTATGCCTCACACACATTCTCTCCATCCCCGACTCTTAACACTATCACACCATTTCTTCCCCTTCATTCCAGTCTATTTTCCCATCCAATGCACACTATTGTTTCAAGACTCATTTACTCACTCACACACTTCCACACTCACACACTTCCACACTCACACACTTCCTCACTCTGAATACTCTCTTGCCCTCTAATGAAGAATAGACTGAGTGTATTGAGTCCTGTGAGAGTCCAGTCCTCCGTGGCTGTCTCAGTTATTCCGGGTCCATTTTGTGGGAGCGGTGTGTCCGTAATGAGAGAATGCCTGGCTGGAGCAGACAGTGTCTCCACTGGGAATGCTCCAATTAGAGAGAGAGATGGAATATCCACAGTCTTTTCCCAGCCGCTGCGAACAGGGAACATAATTGATTGTCTATTATCTCGGAAGCGAGGCATTTGCGTTTGAGTTTGAGGTTCAGCAGTTTCTTTCATTAGGAAAGTGAGTGTGTGTGTCTGTGTGTGTGTGTGTGTGTGTGTGTAATGTTCCCTCCAGCTAGAAAAGGCTACAAAAACACAGTAAGTTATAGCCTGTCTGCGTGTTACAAAGTAATAATGTAGTGATACTGACTCAATATAAAGGCCCCTCAGTACACTGCATTCCTAGTCTCCCATCTTTTACCTCTTCAATCTACTCTGTCCTTTGTACTATGTGTATCAGTCCTAGTGTAAGGGTTAGTCTAATGTCCTGTGGATGAATGTAACCAAGGTGTTTTCTCCTTAATAGGGACCACAAGGAGAACCTGGCCCCAATGGACAGCAAGGGAACCCTGGTGCTCAGGTCAGTGTGATGTTATGATCCCTCTTGGGCAGGTTATGAGATTGTGGCCTTCATTTGGTTGGTCATTGTATGGTCATGCCCAATCTTCCCTCAAATCTTCTGCCGTGCGTTTACAGTGAACACTGAGGCTGTACCCTTACAGTTTTAGACAGTAGGCAATAGGCTATTGTGGCTTTTTGAGTATAATGTAGGCCTGCCAACAAAACCAATGGCGCAAATCCCATAACATTTTCACATGGAAATAGATTTTGATTTCTATGATATAGTCTACAGTAGCCTATATGTGGTGTTCAATGAAGGCCTACATTGCATGAGACTTTAAAAAACCTTTTTACATTATGAAGGGCTTGACATTAATTGATGATTTTTTACTTGGTCTGTAACACAATGGGCCAAATAGGTGCCTGTAAATTGCATTGTATTGTGTTGTATGATGCAAGAAACCACTTTACAAAATAAAATGTATTAGTATTACCATATAGAGAATTAGACAATGTAGGCAACCCCTCTGCCTATTGGCTTATTTGCATATTCAAGCCTGTCTCAAAATACAACACTGCCCCTTTAATTAAGACATAAGCTTTTTACCTGACTGGTTTTTCAAAGACAGCTTGAAATGTAGCCTACACATTTTGTGCTCTTGTAGGAAGCAGTAACTCCCCATTGCTGACCTATACTTATCTATAACCCAGCTAATAACTCGGTAACTAGCAAAGAAGATCAACAAATGTGCACACCACCCTGCGGTCTGATCTGAACTGATCTGAAAAGCGCATTCACTGTCAGGTGATTGAAAGACTGCACTTGGGCTACCCCCGCCAATAGAATTCTACTCCGTTGCACTCTGGCTCTGCCTACAACAAAATCACAGACTCAATCTTGCAAAGTTAGATTTGTTTTGGATTGTTGTATTGAAAAGGGGCTGATATAATGTTGATTCGATCACAGAAAAAACGTTGATCTCTATAGGCCGTCATTGTAAATAAGAATTTGTTCTTAACTGACTTGCCTAGTTAAATAAAGGTAAAATAAATATAGTGCTCTTGCGTCTCTGCGCGGCATAGCATTTCTTCTGTGCGGCATAGCATTTCTTCTGCGCGGCATAGCATTTCTTCTGCGCGGCATAGCATTTCATCTGCGCGGCATAGCATTTCTTCTGCGCGGCATAGCATTTCATCTGTGCGGCATAGCATTTCTTCTGCGCGGCATAGCATTTCTTCTGCGCGGCATAGCATTTCATCTGCGCGGCATAGCATTTCTTCTGCGCGGCATAGCATTTCTTCTGCGCGGCTGTCCTTGAGCAAGTGCGCAACGTAAAGGGAACATTGGTCATGCCGACTATGACACGTTGATGTTGGACCATTGGTTGGATTGTCTGTTCCTGTTTCATCCCCCAATTAATTTATACTGACAATGTCCTTCCTCTCTCTCTCTCTACAGGGACTTCCAGGTCCTCAGGGAGCCATCGGGTCCCCAGGAGAGAAGGTACGGGCCCTGGCCACTCGAACACATACCTACACCATGATGGGATGTGAGCAGTATTGTGGCTCCCCTGTTTATGTGAGTCTGTTGTCTTCTCTGTTCTATCTCTAACTTCCTCTTTCTCCTCCTCTGCTCTCCTCAGGGTCCTACTGGAAAACCAGGACTGGCAGGAATTCCAGGAGCTGACGGACCCCCGGTAAGTGAAGAAACACACTCCCGATCACACACACTCCCCACCTTCTCGCAGAGAACACCTGTGCTATTTCCAGGTGGGCCTTGGAAGATGCAGGTGAGAGAGAGAGAGAGAGAGAGAGAGAGAGAGAGAGAGAGAGAGAGAGAGAGAGGAGAGGAGGACCCAACCCAGACCCAAACCAAATCATGAGAAAACAAAAAGAGAATTACTTGACACATTGGAAAGAACAAACAAAAAAACAGAGCAAACTAGTAGGACTATTTGGGCCCTAAACAGAGGTACACAGTGGCAGAATACTTGACCATGGGACTGACCCAAACTTAAGGAAAGCTTTGACTATGTTTCAGACTCAGTGAGCATAGCCTTGCTATTGAGAAAGGCCGCCGTAGGCAGACCTGGCTCTCAAGAGAAGACAGGCTATGTGGCACACTGCCCACAAAATGAGGTGGAAACTGAGCTGCACTTCCTAACCTCCTGCCAAATGTATGACCATATTAGAGACACATATTTCCCTCAGATTACAGCGATCCACAAAGAATTCGAAAACAAATCCAATTTTTAAATAAACTCCCTTATCTACTGGGTGAAAAACCACAGTGTGCCATCACAGCTGCAAGATTTGTGACCTGTTGTGCCACAAGAAAAGGGCAACCAGTGAAGAACAAACACCATTGTAAATACAACCCCATATTTATGTTCATTTATTTTCCCATTTGTACTTTAACTATTTGCACATTGTTACAAAAAACTGTATATATACATAATATGACATTTGAAATGTCTTTATTCTTTGGAACTTCTGAGTGTAATGTTACTGTTAATATTTATTGTTTATTTCACTTTTGTTTACTATTTTACTTCACTTGCTTTGGCAATGTTAACATACGTTTCCCATGCCAATAAAGCCCTTAAATTGAAATTGAATTGAATTGAATGGAAGAGAGAGAGAATGGAAGAGAGAGATAGCCAGATGAGAGCAGCGTCTGTCGCTGTATTCCCCCACGATTCTCTACTGGCTTTGATATGTTTGTGGAGTGGTATTACCACACGAGTGTTACCTCACTGGTGTTACCACACTGGTGTTACCTCACTGGCATTACCACTCTCTCCTTTCATCTCCCTTCTTCTAGTATCTGCCTCTTAGTCTCCATACACCCCTCTCTCTCCCTCTCTCTCCCTCTCTCTCCCGCTCTCTCCCACTCTCTTCCCCTCTTTCTTCTGTCGACTTCTATTTTCTGCCTCTTGAGAATCCATCCCTCCATCCATCCCCCTCTCTCTCTCTCTCTCTCTCTCTCTCTCTCTCTCTCTCTCTCTCTCTCTCTCTCTCTCTCTCTCTCTCTCTCTCTCTCTCTCTCCTTTCTGAAACCGTATCAGCTGACATTGCACAGCTCTCTTATCTCAAGGGAACACAATCAACTTACCTCAACTCTTTTTTACTCGACATGCTAAGTGGTTTGTGTGTATTTGTGTGTGTGTGCACACCCGCGTTTGTGTGTGTTCTTCCAGGAGTATTGAGACTGAAAGCCCTTGTCTTTAAGAGGTTCTACAATAGACCATAGTGCTTGTATAACGCTGGGCATTAAGGAGATATCCCAAATGAGATTGAACTCTGAAGGCTTTTATTCCAAATGGCCTTTTTCACTATCGTACATCCTGGTATGATTTTACACCTTAATAATCCCTGTGTAATAGTGGTGTAGTATTTATGATCTAGTGCTAATTATCCCAGGACCACCATTAATGTTGCTGTTAATAATTCACAGGGTCACCCTGGCAAGGAAGGACCCAACGGAGAGAAAGGACATTTGGTAAGTTTCTCTCTCTTTATGGGTATTATGTTGTTGTTCATTGTCTTTTTTATCAGGATCTGTTTATCAGGATCTGTAATCAGGATCTGTTTATCAGGATCCTTTTGTCTTTTACTTTACATTTACATTTACATTTACATTTTAGTCATTTAGCAGACGCTTATGCTCTCTCTCTCTCCTCTCTCTCTCTCTCTCTCTCTCTCTCTCTCTCTCTCTCTCTCTATCTCGCTATCTCTTGCTATCTCTCTCTATCTTGCTATCTCTCGCTATCTCTCTCTATCTCGCTATCTCTCTCTATCTCGCTATCTCTCTGTCTCTCTCTCTCTCTCTCTCTCCTCTCTCCCCCTCTCTCTCTCTATCTATTTATCTCTCTCTCTCTCTCTCTCTGTATCTCTCTCTCTTCTTCCCTCATTCTTTCTCACTCACTATATTTCTCTCAATCTTCACATACATTTGCATATTTCATTTACATTAATGTAAATGACTCTCTGTTACAAGCATCTCTCCACGCTTTTATCTTCCTCCAGGGTCCTGCAGGCCCTCAAGGCCCAATCGGTTATCCTGGGCCCCGAGGCGTGAAGGTGAGTTTTACGCCCCAGTGTCTCATCCACCCACAGGCTTAATTCACTCCTAATACACTTCCTTTCCTGAAGGTCACATGGTATCAGTGTAACTCTCCCATTGGTCTGGTCTGTCATTAGGTAAAACAGTCTAATCCTCAGTCCCTCTGTCTTTTTTAAAATGCCAACGTGAAAGTAGAACATAGAACTGAAATTGCACTTTGTATGCAATGAAATGGGCCTAGTTTGCGATTATATTATGACATTTCATACTCTGTGTGTGGACCAGACCTATTTTTTAAACGAGTAGGATTTTAACTGAACAAAACCCATCTGTGACATGCAGATAGTCAATATTAGAGCAAATCATAAACCTGGTTTCCCCTAATTACATTATGTTACCAGAAGTACTTAATTAGGCTAATATATACACACGATGAGTGGCTAACCCAACACAGTTAGAGTAGTTAGAAATCATTGATTAACTGTTGATGCTAATCTATGTAAAGCTCATAACTCAGTTGAGAGACTGGGCTGGTGGGCCGGGTGGGTGAGATAAGGAAGCAGGGCTGTAGCCTCAGCTCCCTCTCTACAGCCCTGGGAGTGATCACACTGCTTCTTGATCCTCACTAATGACTAGCTGATTTAAAGTAGAGAAACATGTAGGCTAGAGGACTCACATCAAATGGCCCTTGCAGAGAGGGGTTAAGGGGCCAAATTAATTACACCACCCACTGACTGTTTGTGTGAGGCTGGTGCATGATTATGGTTCATGGCTCTTGGTGTGTGCTCTCTAAAGCTCTTATCCTCTGATAGTCTCTGTGTTTCAGAGAGAACAGGCTCTGTGACTGTCGCTGGTTTAATGAAAGTACAGTCAATGTATATGCGATAAAAGATAGCTATAGGTCACCATCAATTCTGCTCCTATACTATAAAGTTCCACCACAGTATAATAGCTTAGAGCTCCTATAGAGATCATATTAACTTTATTTATAGAGCATGAGAAATTGCAAACTTAGTTATCATTCAGCCTTAGTTGAAAGTGTGTTAATATTTGTAGCTTTCAGCTCCTGTTCAGAGTGTTAATGCTAATGAAGCCCCAGTTGGTAGTGTCTGGTTGATGTTCTATTGCCCTAAAGTGGAGTGTGCCCCAGAACAGAATGTTCGAAAATAAAGAGATCTCGACAGACGAGTACTAGAGGCGCAGAGATCATAGCTACGCAGAGCATATGCTAATACGTCCAGATCTCTACTCTCTATCAGCGATTCTCTCGTAAGCTACTCTCTCTCTATATGCTCTCTTCTCTCTCTCTTCTCTCTCTCTCTCTCTCTCTCTGTTCTTCTATCTCTCTACCATGAGGAGCCGACGGTGTACGAGGCCTGAAAGGAGGAAAGGGTGAAAAGGTAAGAAATAGTGTGTGTGTCTCTGTGTCTGATCTATCTCTGTTGTTAGTGGTCATATAAAATGTGTCGGCCATATGTGGTGATGATGAATATAGTGATGATGATGATTTTGATAATAAGGATGAAGGTGATTGTGGTGATGATGATTATGATGATGATGATGGTGATGATGATGATTATGATGATGATGATGAAGGTGATTGTGATGATGATGATATGATGGTGATGATGATGATGATTATGATTGATGATGAAGGTGATTGTTGTGATGGTGATGATGATGATGATAAGAATGATAAGAATGATGGTATACGTTGCCAATTCACATAAATATCAGGCTAGCCTACTATTATTTGGGAAAAAATAAGATCTAGAGTTTCTATGGCAACACGGACAGCCAAAAGCAATGTTACAGCTATGTGTGTGTGTGATGTGTGCATATGTGTTTGTGAATGCCTTTGTGAGGGCGGATATGGCTTTTCACTACTCTCCAAAATGAATTACCACATTCTCAATACCTTTTCTTTCTCCCCCTCCTCCTTTCTTTCTTTCACTCAGGGAGAAGATGGATTCCCTGGCTTCAAAGGAGATATGGGAATCAAGGGTGACAGGGTGAGACATTTATCTTTTGTTCAGGTTTTTGTCAAATGCCGTCAACTATATCTGGACGTCTCAGAACACATTTATATCCAACACAGTATAAGGAAATGTATTCCATCATCTGTGAGTTCAATCTGTCAGGGATTTAGTGTGCCTTTGATAGGCTTATGATGAAGGGTACAATAAAACCCAGTTTGACTTTGAAAAATGGGCAAAAAAGTCCTTAGAGAAAAAACAGTAAGCTAGTTGTCATTGGCTGATGATTTTGGCCAGTGCAGAGTTGATCCTAAGTCCTCTGGTCCCATGGGAGGTGACCTTTACTTAAACTGGTCGATGGTATTGATCCCCTACTGTCTGTCTGCCCCCCCCCCCTCCTCTCGATTGACCTGAAGTCATTGTGGAATTATGGGTAATGAGCAAACACTGACTGTGACTGTCTTTGTTACCAGCTCTGGCAAGTGAGAGTTTGTGTGTTTGTGTGTGTACGTGTGTGTGTGTGTGTGTGTGTGTACGTGTGTGTGTGTGTGTACATGCGTGTGTGTGTGTGTGTTTGGGTATGTGTGTGTCTTCCTCTCAATCAAACACCCTCCACCTTTCTCTCAATCCCCCTCTTCCATCTCTCCAATTACCTCTTGACGTCTATCCGACCTCTCTGAGACTAACAGGACAGAAAAACTGGCATGTAAACCCAGAAATAGAATCCCTCTCCAAACTAACTGCGTCAGTCAGAGATTAACTTTAGACTTTTCAAGTCACCTTAAAACCCCTTCAACAGGAGTAGCTCTGGCCCTTACTTCAAACACAACACCCTCAATCCTGACCAGGCCCTCTTTAGAGGAGTGGAGAGATAGAGAGACATAGAGGGAGAGAGAGAGAGATAGAGGAGAAAATCGATGAGGAGCTTTAAACCCCTTCAAAACGGAGAGAGAGAACAAGACAAGGGGCTTCAGTCTGTCTTCCTCTGGAGATGTAGCAGCCTCTGATGAAAGAGAGGAGAGATGGGGGATTTGAGAGAAGGGGATTTGGGAGTAGGGGAAGAGAGGAGGATTTGGGAGTGGGGGAAGAGAGTAGGATTTGGGAGTGGGGGAAGAGAGGAGGATTTGAGTGGGCCCTGTGTTTGGGAGGAGAGGAGGCAGGAGGCGCCCAGCATGGACCGGAATCTGAATGTCTGCCTGTGTTGCATGCTTATGAGTGTGTGTTGCATGCTTATGAGTGTGCGTGTTAGAGAGAGAGAGTCTGCTTAATGAGCTTTTTAGCATGAGTTGGTGTGTGAGTGTTGAGCTGGAAGAGAGAGTTTCTGTGATGACTTTGTGTGTGTGTGTGTGTGTGTGCATACTGTATGTAAGTGACTCTATTCGTGTGATTGAGTGCAAGTGTGTGTGTGCCTGCGAGTGTGTGTGTGTTACGGCGAGTGTACGTGGTCCGTTCACGGTCCTCTGGGTCGGCGCGGTAGTGGCTGGTTGTCAGAGCCAGTTTATACCCTGCTGTTTAGAGACGTGCTGTGCACTGCCTTGTAGCAACCTTAGTGCCACTAACCCACCAGAGGATTAACACACTTTAAGGCAATAAAATGCTTCTTATATCACACAGTCAGCTTGACAGACAGACAGACAGACAGACAGACAGCAGCCTCAGGAGCCTCATTTGATTCATTAACCAGCTACAGAGCATCAGAGACTGACCTGCTACACACTCTGTCTGAAGGACTTGGAGGAGCAGGTGTCATAACTGAAATAGTGACTGGAACAAACTGGTGTCACTGCCTGAAACAGTGACTGAATGAAACGATGTGAGGATGAAATGGTTTCATGACTGAAAAAGTCAAGAAGGCTGGTATTGCATTTTGCTGGGCCCGAGAGAGCAGGTGTTATGACTAAACAGTGACTGAAATGATCTGAGGATGGAAGTGCAGTCTGAAGGCCTGGACCTGTTGAGAGCATGGCTCTTTGATGTGGCATGACACAAAACATCAAGATAGAAGATACGGTATGACTCGATAAGTAAATCAACAACATGGAATGCCACAATACGTGATTCTAGGATATGATACAACATGATACTCTGAGAAATAGTATGACGCTATATGAGATGCCCCTGAACAACCTGGTTATGTGTGTTTTCGTAGGGTGAGCTGGGACCTGCTGGACCCAGAGGAGAGGACGGACCTGAGGGGCCCAAGGGTCGCTCCGGTCTCCCTGGAGATGCTGGCCCTCTTGGACCCAACGGTGAAAAGGTGAGTCGTCTTTGTCCATGTGACCAGCTCCTCATACTTTAAAAAGGCCATTATTCTTGTGATCAAATCTCTGTTAAGTTACATGGAACTGAAGATGAGGACGAAACACCACCGCTCAACTTCTCCCCTTTCGCTAATCAATGGCTGTATCTATAGACCAAATCTACCTGCCACCTGCTCTTAAACTGTACAGTCGTGGTCAAAAGTTTTGAGAATGACACAAGTAATGGTCTTCACAAAGTTTGCTGCTTCAGTGTTTTTTAGATATTTTTGTCAGATGTTACTATGGTATACTGAAGTATAATTACAAGCATTCCATAAGTGTCAAAGGCTTTTATTGACAATTACATTAGGTTTATGCGTCAATATTTGCAGTGTTGACCCTTCTTTTTCAAGACCTCTGCAATCCGCCCTGGCATGCTGTCAATTAACTTCTGGGCCACATCCTGACTGATGGCAGCCCATTCTTGCATAATCAATGCTTGGAGTTTGTCAGAATTTGTGGGGTTTTGTTTGCCCACCCGCCTCTTGAGGATTGACCACAAGTTCTCAATGGGATTAAGGTCTGGGGAGTTTCCTGGCCATGGACCCAAAATGTCGATGTTTTGTTCCCAGAGCCACTTAGTTATCACTTTTGCCTTATGACAAGGTGCTCCATCATGCTGGAAAAGGCATTGTTCGTCACCAAACTGTTATTGGATGGTTAGGAGAAGTTGCTCTCTGAGGATGTGTTGGTACCATTCTTTATTCATGGCTGTGTTCTTAGGCAAAATTGTGAGTGAGCCCACTCCCTTGGCTGAGAAGCAACCCCACACATGAATGGTCTCAGGATGCTTTACTGTTGGCATGACACAGGACTGATGGTAGCGCTCACCTTGTCTTCTCCGGACAAGCTTTTTTCCGGATGCCCCAAACAATCAGAAAGGGGATTCATCAGAGAAAATGACTTTACCCCAGTCCTCAGCAGTCCAATCCCTGTACCTTTTGCAGAATATTAGTCTGTCCCTGATGTTTTTCCTGGAGAGAAGTGGCTTCCTTGCTGCCCTTCTTGACACCAGGCCATCCTCCAAAAGTCTTTGCCTCACTGTGCGTGCAGATGCACTCACACCTGCCTGCTGCCATTCCTGAGCAAGCTCTGCACTGGTGGTGCCCCGATCCCGCAGCTGAATCAAATTTAGGAGACGGTCCTGGCGCTTGCTGGACTTTCTTGGGTGCCCTGAAGCCTTCTTCACAACAATTGAACCTCTCTCCTTGAAGTTATTGATGATCCGATAAATTGTTGATTTAGGTGCAATCTTACTAGCAGCAATATCCTTGCCTGTGAAGCCCTTTTTGTGCAAAGCAATGATGACGGCACATGTTTCCTTGCAGGTAACCATGGTTAACAGAGGAAGAACAATGATTTCAAGCACCACCCTCCTTTTAAAGCTTCCAGTCTGTTATTCTAACTCAATCAGCATGGCAGAGTGGTCTCCAGCCTTGTCCTCGTCAACACTCTCACCTGTGTTAACGAGAGAATCACTGACATGATGTCAGCTGGTCCTTTTGTGGCAGGGCTGAAATGCAGTGGAAATGTTTTTGGGGGGATTAAGTTCATTTTCATGGCAAAGAGGGACTTTGCAATTAATTGCAATTCATCTGATCACTCTTCATAACATTCTGGAGTATATGCAAATTGCCATCATAAAAACTGAGGCAGCAGACTTTGTGAAAATGTATATTTGTGTCATTCTCAAAACTTTTGACCACGACTGTACATGTTTAGGAATGGTTGATTTATAACCAGTGAAACTCTGGAGTGACCTTATTTACTGTTCATTAAAACAAGGACACTTCTTTTTGAAGCTATAAGACATAAATATATTTACTTTTCCCCAGTAGTGTCTCTCTCTACTCTCATTATGTAGTTGGGAATCAGAATAATTTAAGAGTTTCTCTGGGGAGTTCTATCTTAAGAAGTGGAACATGGAGAGAGCCAGTTTCCTCTTCCCACGTCCCGCCCACGTCTAGCAGGACGAGGGTTTAAACAACAAAAAATATGGCTTCACATTGGCCTGACCCAGAATAGGGGGACTAGAGGAGATAGATTGAGGATCAAAAGAGATAGTACAGAGGATTGTTTCAGTAATACAGTACAGTACCCATTACACACAACCATAGTCACTCTATATGTATGTTCATGTAAAAAGGAATTTATAAATAAATCAAAATTGATTATTGATTGATATACATACAGAACCGATGTTGACTGTGTTCTGATTTGCCTGGCCCACAGGGCAAACTGGGTGTTCCAGGGTTGCCAGGATACCCAGGAAGACAAGGACCAAAGGTATGTCCCCCTTTCCTCCACAGATCCCTCTCTTTCTCTATCTTTAATACAGTGGATGTTTCTGGGAGCCGCTTCTGAAGGGCCCTTGATTGAACATGGCGTTAGTGATGACCTGATCTGATCTGACGGGCCAGCGGGGCAGCACTCTGATGCAGGCGGGCGCAGGGCGAACATATTTGAACCTCCCTGATCAAGGGATTGTTTGAACCTCCCTGATCTGTCTGACACCAAAAGGAAGGATTTAGCCTTTTGGTGTCAGACAGACGCCCACTGCCCAGCCTCTACCTACAATGCATCACTGCTGCCTACAACAGAGCTTTTATTTTACACCACTCAACATCTTTATTCCTCACGTTTGATTAACCTGGGATTTAATCTCTTTCGCCTCTCTTTATCTCTCTCTCTCTTTCTATCGCTCTCTCCCTTTTTTTTCTCAACACAGGGATCTCAGGGTTTCCAAGGTTTCCCCGGAGCCAACGGAGAGAAAGGAACAAGGGTACGTCAGAGAACATTTCCTGTCAAAGTTTTAATACTTAGTATTTAGTATTAGTTTCCTTAAGTTTCAAGTTATAGTTGAATACTGTATCTACTCTACATAACTATAAAACAACCTACTGTGGATGTGCGAGCCAGCTAAGTGCTTTTCATTTTGTAGTTTTAGTATTCTACCCACCCCTGAGAGGATTGGATCAATACTGAATCAGATCAATGGAGACAGGGTTTTTTCTCTCTCTAGTGCTACTTCAAAACACACAGGGAGTTTTAGTCAAAGGGAAGAAGATTAATCCAAGGACAAAAATACAGTTGTATTTCTTCTTCATTACCATCCTCACATAAACTCATTTTTAAGAGCATTGAAAAGCGCCACAAAGGTAATTTATCATATTGTACGGTAGTTGCCGAAATATTTCATTTTCTTTTAAAAGAGACGGGTCATTAGTTTAGTCTGGAGAGTAATGGTTTGTCACAAAGTGTAGAACGACGTACGGTACACAAGGCTTTTTATCTTCTATCACAGAAACATGAGAATTTATGAGGCAGAACCCTTAACGCTCTGATGTAGAGAGATGGTCGAAACATTTACATTAGTTTCATTGCTGTCATTTGTAAATCTAAAACCCACACAGTCATAATTCCATTCTTTCTTCATTTGACATACAGTAAGGGAATATGGTCTCATATAGCGTTGTTTTCTAGATCTACCTCAATGGTCTCTCGCCCAACAACAGTTTAGGATATCTAAACCGATTTATCTACTTTCATTATCAAAAATAAATGTGCCTTTGTTCGCTCCTATTAGACAGAGAAGAAGAAAGAGTCTTGCCATAGATAGATGAATACATTGCATATACATTTAAGTCATTTAGCAGACACTCTTATCCAGAGCGACCCATAGTGAAGGTTGAATGAGGAATAGGTCTAAATGTTAGTTTAAGTAGCCATGGTGATAGTGAGAATGGGACTAATCTAATGATTGCTACAGGTCTAGTTTATCTGATAGGTTAGATAGGTCAGGGCAGTCTCAAATTCATTACCGTCACAACTTGTGACCTCTGACCTCTGTATGTGTTCTGGTTCCTCACAGGGACTTGCAGGGAAGGCTGGCCCAAGAGGACAGAGAGGACCAACGGTAGGTCTACTTCCCCTTTGACCTCTACTATCCACAGGCAATAGATATAGGTAACAATGACAACGGTGTGTCCGGGTGACCGAGGTTATCAATATTTACCTTGACCCCCAATAGGAGGTTAAGTGAATGAAATGAGAACATCCTCTAATAGTGAAGGATATCTTCAGAGGATGTACCTTCTTTATTGGTATTCCTCCCTCCTCACGTTCCTCCTCTTATTCTTCCTCTTCTCCCAGGGACCTCGTGGAGAGAGGGGGCCAAGGGGACCAACAGGAAAAGCTGGACCAAAGGTGAGTCAGGGTCTGTGATCTAACATGGCGGACATATTGCCTCACTATCATACAGTGGTATGATCTTGTCTGTCATTGGCTGAGTCCCTTCTGACTACTTCTTGTTTCCTTCCTGTCTCCCAGGGTACCTCAGGAAGTGACGGCCCCCCAGGACCTCCCGGTGAGAGGGTATGTACTGGAGCATCTTTCACCTCAAACACCAATTAATCTATATCATCCTGATCCATTTCCAATATTGCTTATTGATCACTAGTTTATTGATTGATTGGTTGATTAATTGATTGACTGTATCATCTGCTTGTGTGTTTCAGGGTCTTCCAGGGCCTCAAGGACCTACAGGATTCTCCGGACCAAAGGGCCCACCCGTAAGACAAACAAAACGTACAACACAACACTGGCACACACTTAATAATGCCTTTCCTCTGTGTTAGTCTGTCTATAGTGTTTTTCTGGTATACTAAGTCTCTCTGAGACCCGATCTGTACTACAGGGATATATGTGTAGCAGCTCTGAGGTTTTCTGTCTGTGTGTTTCTCAGGGACCTGCTGGGAAAGATGGTCTGCCCGGACACCCTGGACAGAGAGGAGAGACTGTGAGTACACACAGTGTTGTTGTCCTATGGCTGTGTCATAGACCAGAGTTTATATTCTCCTGAACCTTGTATACCATCTTCTTACCGCTCTTCTTCTCTCTTCTCCTTGCAGGGTTTCCAAGGCAAGACTGGCCCACCTGGACCCCCAGGAGTGGTCGGACCTCAGGTGAGTTCTGTCACACACCACCATAATACTAACATACTCTCACACACACACACACACACACACACAAACACATCCCACTATATCATATCTGTGACATAAACCACCCAGTACAATACATTTCGGTGGACTGGCCTCATCGACAAATAGACGTGCAGAGATCGTGTGTGTATGATTAGTTTATTATCACTGATGAGTAGCTTGATGTGACTCACATTGTGTCAATGCGGTCACATAACTCTATAAACAGCACACTTCCTCTTTGTCAGTCCTCATCTAACTTAGATGCAGTTAGGGAAAGAAATTAGGCCTCACCGAAATCCTGTTCTGTAAATAATGAATGCCCACTTGTTTGTATGGAATGCATATAAATGAAAACTGAATAGCTACAGTAGGGCTCTCAAAAACACCATTAGTTTTTTTTTTATCTCTACCTAGGCTAAGATTAAGATGATCATGGGCAGGATGTGCAGTTAGCAGTCATTAGGGTGTCGCAAGAGTGACATAAGGATGACTTACAGGTGTCGTAATGACGTCATAGTGAATTTTAGGCAGAGTTTTTGCTGTGTTTGTTGTGCTGACAGAAGGACTTTCCTCCTGTCCATATCTGGCTAGGCATGACTGTCAGAGTGTTGTTTATCCGCTTAGATATTAGCACTTAGCTGTTTATTCATTATGCATGCTCAGTTAACAGCCATTTCCACCCAGAGCTTTTCTCCTAATGCTAATTGAGAACATTACATGTATTGATGATGTTGTTCTGGCAGATGAATGACACTTTCCTGGAGTGACTAGCGGGTACCGGGGGTTCTGGCTTACCACTCACCCACGCTCTGTCACCCTGTACTCATACATTTTGTAAAGACACCCTGATACACTTTGTTGACTTATTCATACTCTCTCTCTCACTGTCCCATCTCTCTCTCTCTCTCTCTCTCTTCCCCTGTCTCTCTCTCTCTCTCTCTCTCTTTCTCTCTCTCTCTCTCTCTCCCTCCCTCCATCCACAGGGCCCCACAGGTGAGACTGGACCAATGGGAGAGCGTGGCCATCCCGGACCCCCAGGTCCACCCGGTGAGCAGGGTCTTCCTGGATCTGCTGGTAAAGAGGGAGCTAAGGGTGACCCCGGTCCCGCTGGCCCGGCTGGTAAGGATGGTCCCCCTGGTCTGAGAGGGTTCCCAGGAGAGAGAGGTCTGCCCGGCCCAGTGGTGAGTAGCACACACCTCACATAATTTGTGACTGACCGGCTCGATTCGGTCTTATGTAGCAAAATTTGAAATTGTGTTTTTTACATTGGATAAAAGTAGAGACTCCGAGCTACAAAATGGTATATCATACATTACAGTTGAGGAACAATGGGAAAGTAATTCTGCTTTGAAAGGTGATAAACTTTTAACCCCACTTTTGAGAAAATGGTCCTTGAATGTTTTGGTAAACCTACTGGAGAGCTCTTCTTTGTCTACATCCATTCAGCATCATTCACACCCTCTTAAGCCTTAGCCCCAACCATCTATTTAAGGATTCACATGTGAGGCCATGTGCTAAACAGAGTGAGTATGGTAGTGTACTAAACAAACAAAGATTTCAAGACTAAAGGCTGGTTTAAACTACGTCTATCGACATGTCTGTAGACAGTTGTCGCAGTGACATCATGACATTCTATTGTCGTCTGACATCAAACTTGTCATTGTCATTATGAAAAGTATAAACACAAAACCTACAGGCTGCATGACATCAGCAACCTGGTGGTCCAAAATAGCATAACTGGTGTATTTTAACACCAGTAAACCCATCCATTTAAAAATGAATTTAGCATGCTGTGTGTCAATCTAGCAAACCAGGCAACTAAAAGCAACTTTCTAAACAATGTTTTGGTTTGTTTCTAGCTTGTTAGCTAGCTAGCTAACGTTAAGTTAGCTGGCTAGCCAGTTTAAATAATGACCAAACCATATAGCTGACGACGTCTTAACTTTAGCTCATTTATATTCATTATTACAGGAAAATAAACCCACAACAAGATAATTATTTACAAGTTAATGGCGAGCTAATTACAGAAAATAGCTTACGGTTGTGAGTGTGACAAAATAAAATCAGGGCTTTCTACCAGAGAATTTTAGAACTTGGACACTGTCTCGTTGGCCTAACGTTATACCCTAAATTGCAGGTCATGTTGTTCTTCACATTACTGTCTCTGGTAAACACACACTATAAAATCTAAGTTTATTTGTCACACGCACAGGATACAGAAGGTGTAAACAGTACCGTGAAATGGTTACTTAGTGGAGTATTTTGTTTAGACATGTAGCTAGCTAGCTAGCTAAACAATTAACCATAATCCCAACTCATAATGTTACTACCCTGCATGACTCTACAGGTAGCTAACCAACTATGTTCAATGTTAGCTAGCTAGCTAACATTCGGCTATAACTAGCAATGCAAATGGCTCTGAGAAACAAATCATTTTACTACACAGATCATACACGTAACATTAGCTAGCGAGCCAGCCTGCTAACGTTAGCTAGCTAACAGTACACTTTAACTTGCAATGAAAACAACTTTCGGACAAAATGTTTAACGTATAATATCTGAAAATGTAGCTAGCTAGACTCTCTTACCCGTATACATGGATGAATGCGTCTCCCTCTCTGTCACGGATGCCATGGGTGCCCTTAGTTTAAAGATGTAATCCGGAGACAGGTGTTTTATACAACAGCCTTCTGTGTGTCCTCTTTTCGACTCCCTCCGCATATTTGCAATCAAACGCCAGAATTTTTTCCATGTCCTTAGCTATCATACTCTGCTTCCACCGGGCATTCCACTGATTTCAAAACTCAGTCCTCCAGAAAGTGGAGAGAAACTATTTTGCAGTTCTTCGTGATATCTTTCAAAAAAGCCGCGTTAGAAAGGATTACCTACACATACTGAGCAGCTCATGTCATAGACATAAGCATGGCAGACCAATCCGAACTCATCTCTCGGCATGTCTAGCCCATCCATTATCTCAGCCAATCATGGTTAGCGGGAAGGTTCTGTGGCTAAACAAACTAGACTCATATTTTAACAATTGTATTCGTATTTACAGATGGCATACACGTTTGTTATTAAGGCACATGAAAGTTCACATGTTCCAGAAGGCATTTCTGCCAAAAAACACATTTTGATAAAAATAATAATGTTTGTGTTAAAATGCCTATCCTGTGAAGTAGTCATGCGCGACATACGCCTAGGTTCCTGAAACAAGTCACATTTCTGTCTTATCTTTGGGATAAATAAGATTCAAATCAATCAGATTTATTTTAGAGCTAGCTGCCTTTCTTGTGTAAACATGAGGAGTTCACTTAGGCTTTCATGATTACAGCTTCTTCCCCTCAGTAGCCTGTATCCTCTCAGTCAGCACAGTTGGGGGATTCTGGGATAGATAGAGGGGGTCCGCCCCGGCGTTAAGGAAGGATGAGATGTACTGTGCTTCCATCACAGATTGTTTTCTAAAGGTTTGCTTCTCCCTCTTCTCTCTCTCTCTCTCTCTCTCTCTCTCTCTCTCTATCTCTCTCTCTCTCTCTCTCTCTCTCTCTCTCTCTCTCTCTCTCTCTCTCTCTCTCTCTCTCTCTCTCTACAGGGGGCTCACGGCCTGAAAGGGAGTGAAGGCCCCAACGGCCCACCCTGGACCTGCTGTGAGTATGGATGATGAACACACATCCACCAACACCCTCTCTTCAACTTTCACACTCTCTATCAATAGTTGCCTCTCTATCACTCTATCATTATCTCTCTGTCTTTTTCTCTATTTCTCTCTCTTTCCCTCTTTTTATTTCGCACACACACTGCGAACGAGGTTTATAGCTAAGCTCATCAGTTGTATCAGCATGCATCACATAATGTTTTAATGATATTCATAGTTCATTCATTAGATACGTGACATAGGTTCTACCTATTTAATAGATTTGCCTGATGTTAAGATTCCACCCTAAGATATCAAAATATGTTATAAAAAAAGTACCTGCTGTAGACTAGTTCTTCATGGATTTCTTTACAGGTAAAAAGGTAGTACTGTAATAAGGGTAGTACTATAAAGGCAGAGCCATGTATTTAGATGGGGAATATAATGTCTACAGAGAGAATGATGATGCAATTACATGACACTACAACATTCTGTGGCAGCCATGTTTGTGCCCCATTAACAATAGATGAGGAATATTTAAACAATGCTATGTAACTAATTGGCCCAACTTTCTAAATATATGGCTCTGAATAAAGATAGTACAAGACTTGTTAGTGGTGACCTGTACTGACCGTGTCTCTCTGTTTTTAGGGTTCCCCTGGTGAGCGTGGTCCTGCTGGCCCAGCCGGACCCACCGGTCTCCCTGGACGACCAGGACCTCAGGGACCCCCTGGACCCGCTGGAGAGAAGGGTGGACCGGTATGACCCAGTTCAGTTCAGCCTGGTTCTGTCCATGCTACTAGTTTTAACATAAACCCTGTTGTTAGGAAACAAACACGTTTCTCTCAGCTACTGTATATCTCAGCCTCCCCGTTTGAATCAACGTATTGTACAGGACAGTAGTGTTCGGGTCAATTCTATTCTAATTCAGTCAATTCAGGAAGTAAACGGTTAAACATCCTGAATTGACTGAATTAAAATGTAATTGATTTAAACCCTGCAGTTTAGTAAGTCTCCAGATGAGAGTTGTCTGGTAAATGAGTGGAATGAAATGTACTGTAATTTAATGTGCTATAGGGTGAAAAAGGACCCCAAGGCCCCGCCGGTAGAGACGGTGTCCAGGGACCTGTTGGTCTGCCCGGCCCCGCTGGACCTCTCGGACCCCCAGGAGAGGATGGAGACAAGGTGGGTTGGCCCGCTGAGGGGAGAGTAGGATGCGTTTGTGTGTGTGTGTGTGTGTGTGTGTGTGTGTGTGTGCGTCCGTGCTTGTGAATGTATATAAAAGTGAACACTTTGTAGCTTAGATAAAAACTAAATCATGTCTATCACTCTCTGACTCACACACACAAACACACTCAACGTGATGACTTAGATCAAAGGGTGTTTGTCCTCTCTCATGACCCTCTCTCTCCTCAGGGGTGTTGACATGCGGTGTTGGCCCTGACTGACATGTCAGTCTTTCCAGCTGACAGATAGATGAACCCGTTATGTCGATCATTTGTACGTTTCAGATGGTAGAGAGGAGCTGCTATTAGTATGCAAACACACAGACAGGAGACACACTGAGACACACAGAGAGAGAGAAAGAGAAAGAGAAAGAGAAAGAGAAAGAGAGAAGAGAAAGAGCGAGAGAGAGAGAGAGAGAGAGAGAGAGAGAGAGAGAGAGAGAGAGAGAGATAGATAGAGAAACATTTGTGTGAAGATCAGCTGTAATTGAATATTTCATCCTTGGAGGAATGCTGCTTTAGTTGTTAACTTAGTCTCTTTCTCCTGGTGCTGGGGGACACAGGGAATACTCAGGTATTTGACATTCAGAAAGAGAGAGAGAGAGAGACACACACACAAAGAGGATCTCACTAACATTCACACAGTCTCATTACAAGGCCTTTCGCACTCGGAGAGGATAACTTCCAAGGGCTTTATTAAGGGGAGTTAAGGAGAGTAGAATAATGTTGTTTCAGAAGCAATAACCATCCTCTGGGCTGGCTTAGGAAAGGTCTGACTCAATGTTTTCCCACCATTTCAAACACCTAGAGACTGCAAACGCATTTGAGTATGCGTAACAGTGTGACGTTCTGGTGTTCTGATTTTGCAGTGCAAATGCAGTGCAAACAAGTTGTGAATGGAATCCGTGACAAGCTGCTAGTTAGATGACAAACCTTCTGGGATGTGGTCCTTTCTATCTCAGTTGGTAGAGCATGGTGTAAGTGGTTTTGGAAAAAGGTGTCTGCTAAATGGCGTATATACAGTATATATTATATAATTATTTTAGTATATTACATATACAGGTAATTGACAAAATAATAGAAACACTTGAGTAAATGAGGGATACAAAGTATATTGAAAGCATGGGCTTCCACACAGGTGTGGTCCCTGAGTTAATTAAGCAATTAAGATCCCATCATGCTTAGGGTCATGTATAAAAATGCTGGGCAGGCCATTATTTTGGCTACCATGGCTATGCCCCCATAGGATGACAATGCCCCCATCCACAGGGCACGAGTGGTCACTGAATGGTTTGATGAGCATGAAAACTATGTAAACCATATGCCATGGCCGTCTCAGTCACCAGATCTCAACTCAATTGAACACTTATGGGAGATTCTGGAGTGGTGCCTGAGACAGCGTTTTTCACCACTATCAACAAAACACCAAATCATGGAATTTCTTGTGGCAGAATGGTGTCGCATCCCTCCAATAGAGTTCAAGACACTTGTAGAATCTATGCCAAGGTGCATAGAAGCTGTTCTGGCTCATGGTGGCCTAACGCCCTATTAAGACACTTTATATTGGTGTTTCCTTTATTTTGGCAGTTACCTGTACATTATATATTATGTGACTCCTAATTCTGCCACTGTGTCACCGAATGATATTGAAGGCGACAATGACATATACCCAACAAAAAGCCCTGAAACCTCTCTTATTTCCACGCCAAGCACTCACTCACATACAAATCTTAATTTAGCTGAACACTAGCTCAACAGGATTTAAGTGAGTTAACTCAACAGGAGTCATTGAGTTGTGTTGACTGTGTTTCTATCACCAGGGAGAGATTGGAGAGCCAGGTCAGAAGGGAGGCAAAGGAGACAAAGGAGAGCATGGTCCACCTGGTCCTACTGGTCCCCAAGGCCCGGTTGGAGCGCCTGGTCCTGCTGTAAGTATCCCACTGAACCGTTTCATCCTCCAGTTCATTGGATCTGGAGGCGGACACTTTATCTATGATGTCACTTTCTGTCCCTGCCACAGTCTCTTGACCTGGTCTATGCCACCGTTCAACCTCTAATTCTTCTCTCCCCCTCACTCTCTTACTTATATACATTATATCCCCTCCCTCTCTCTCTATCTCCTTCTATCTTTCTTTCTCTCCTCCTCTCTCTCTTTCGGGTGTGTAGGGAGCTGATGGAGAGCCCGGTCCCAGAGGTCAGCAGGGTCTGTTTGGCCAGAAGGGAGATGAAGGATCCAGAGGGTTCAATGGACCCCCAGGCCCAGTGGGACTGCAGGTCAGAACCACAACCAGAACCAGGGACAGTCTATGTCTGTGTCCCAAATGGCACCCTATTCCCTATGTAGTGCACTACTTTTGACCAGGGTGCATAGGCCTCTGTACTGACGTCATTATCTTGTCTGACTGCAGGGATTACCTGGTCCGGCTGGCGAGAAAGGAGAAACCGGAGATGTTGGTCAGATGGTAAGAGTTCCTACTATCCTCTTATGCAATATTGCTATAGAGTTGTATGAAATAGAGCAGAATTTAGTGTATTGTACATGGATTGTATACAATGAATTTAGCACTGTCAGATTCCTATATGTACAGTGCCTTCGGAAAGTACTCAGACCCCTTGACTTTTTCCATATTTTGTTAAGTTACAGCCTTATTCTAAAATTGATTTTTTATATATTTGTTTATCATCAATCTACACACAATACCCCATAATGACAAAGCGAAAACAGGTTTTTAGAAATGTTGGCTAATTTATTCAACATAAAAAACAGAAATACCTTATTTACATAAGTATTCAGACCCTTTGCTATGAGACTTGAAATTGAGCTTAGGTGCATCCTGTTTCTATTGATCATCCTTGAGATGTTTCTGCAACTGTGGTAAATTCATTTGATTGGACATGATCTGGAAAGGCACACACCTGTCTATATAAGGTTCCACAGTTGACAGTGCATGTCAGAGCAAAAACCAAGCCATGAGGTCGAAGGAATTGTCGGAAGAGCTCAGAGACTCAGGGAGGTGACCAAGAACCCGATGGTCACTCTGACAGAGCTCTAGAGTTCGTCTGTGGAGATGGGAGAACCTTCCAGAAGGACAACCATCTCTGCAGCACTCCACCAATCAGGCCTTTATGGTAGAGTGGCCAGACGGAATCCACTCCTCAGTAAAAGGCACATGACAGCCCGCTTGGAGTTTGGCAAAAGGCACCTAAAGACTCTCAGACCATGAGAAACAAGATTCTCCGGTCTGATGAAACCAAGATTGAACTCTTTGGCCTGAATGCCAAGCGTCACGTCTGGAGGAAACCTGGCACCAACCCTACGGTGAAGGATGGTGGTGGCAGCATCATGTTGTGGGGATGTGTTTCAGCGGCAGGGACTGGGAGACTAATCAGGTTCGAGGCAAAGATGAACGGAGCAAAGTACAGAGAGATCCTTGATGAAAACCTGCTCCAGAGTACTCAGGACCTCAGACTGGGGTGAAGATTCACCTTCCAACAGGACAACGACCCTAAGCACACAGCCAAGACAACGCAGGAGTGGCTTCGGGACAAATCTCTGAATGTCCTTGACTGGCCCAGCCAGAGCTCAGACTTGAACCTGATCGAACATCTCTGGAGAGACCTGAAAATAGCTGTGTAGCAGTGCTCCCTATCCAACCTGACAGCGCTTGAGAGGATCTGCAGAGAAGAATGGGAGAAACTCCCCAAATACAGGTGTGCCAAGCTTGTAGCGTCATACCCAAGAAGACTCGATGCTGTAATCGCTGCCAAAGGTGCTTCAACAAAGTACTGAGGAAAGGGTCTGAATACTTATGTAAATGTGATATATTTTTAAATAAATTAGCAAAGATTTATAATAACACTGTTTTTGCTTTGTCATTATGGCATATTGTGTGTAGATTGGAAAAAACAATTTAATACATTTTAGAATACGGCTGTAACGTAACAAAATGTGGAAAAAGTCAAGGGGTCTGATTACTTTCCGAATACTGTATATGATTTATTCCTATGTGTATGTGATGACAGTAGACTCATCACTCCTTCTCTCCTACCCTCCTAGGGTCCTCCCGGTCCCCCTGGCCCCAGAGGCCCCTCCGGACCCCCAGGAGCTGACGGCCCTCAGGGACCACCTGGTGGTATTGGAAACCCCGGAGCTGTTGGAGAGAAGGTAAGGTCTACCTGTTAATACCCTTCACCTCAATGTAGAACCCACAGAAATACAATCCATGAATCCAAAATGGATTATATTTATATGGTAGAACCTTTCCATATTTTTCTGAAGCTTCCTACACTTGCCTTAGTCCTCTTGATCCCATTGGATGCATAGGCCCTAGGGCATCCACCATGGGTCTCCTAATCCACCATGACTCCTAATCCACCATGACTCCTAATCCACCATGGCTCTCCTATCCACCATGACTCCTAATCCACCATGACTCTCCTAATCCACCATGGGTCTCCTAATCCACCTTGGGTCTCCTAATCCACCATGGGTCTCCTAATCCACCATGGGTCTCCTAATCCACCATGGGTCTCCTAATCCACCATGGGTCTCCTAATCCACCATGGGTCTCCTAGTCCACCATGACTCTCCTAGTCCACCATGGGTTTCCTAATCCACCATGGGTCTCCGAGTCCACCATAGGTCTCCTATTACTTGGAGATCTACATAGCAGAGGACTCAGACAGTATTGAGGTACATAGTCGTTATGCATCTGTTCCTGCACATAAAATCCCCATAGTTTACAGCAGTCCAGAGTAGATGGCAACGTCTATTTACCTTGTTGCTGACCTCAGTGGTAGAAAGTGTCTCATCAATCAGAGTAACTGTGGTTTAAAGTACCAACAAGAGACAGATATGCTTACTGTGCAAGAGGTCCAATTGTCAGTTTGAGTTTCAGTACAACATATTTCAGATCACCACTCATCCTCTTTTCAAAGCTTTTGTCATCATCAATATTTGATGCAGCTATTCAATAGATAATGTTTGAAATGGGAAAGGCTCATTTTCATTCTCAAGTGAGTGTGAGCGACACACACACACACACAGACACACAGCTTAATGGTAGTGTTGTCATCCTCAACAGTGTTGTCGCTAGAGAGAGTAGGAGTGTGAATAAATATTAAAAACAGCTCTTACAAAATAATCCTTGGTGTTTTCGCTCGCCGTCAGGGGCGGGCGGTCGGAGGTAGCTGTTTGATTATGAAAGCTTTGTCTTGGCAGCCGCCAGCCCCGCTGTCCACCACACGCTCTCAGCACTTTCTACTGCAATGATGGCGTGATTTGTTTTATCTGGTCCGTTGATGGAATGACCTTCGCCCTCTGAGAGTCTTTCCCCTGGGAGCACGCATCCATCCCTTCCTCAAACAAAAGCTTAGCTCACCACAATTACAATCCTCTCTCTGGCTAATCTGATCTGAGCTGATCTGGCAGCTTTTATAGCAGTGGTTAGGCTGAACTTTGGCGTTAGGTCGCTGGGCAGAGAAAGGCGGAGAAAGCGAGAAGAGAGAGAGAGAGAGAGAGAAGGAGAGAGGATACGAGAGAGAGGAGAAGAGAGAGAGCGAGTAGGAGAGAGAGATAGAGAGAGAGAAGAGAGACGAGATGAGAGAGAGAGAGATAGAGAGAGAGAGCAGAGCGTAGAGCAGAGAGAGAGAGAAGATAGAGGGCGAGAGAGAGAGAGCGATATATATCTCTAGACTAGAGAGCTCTCTCTCTCTCTATCTCTCTCGCTCTCTCATCATCTCTCTATCTCTCTCTCTCTCTCTCTATCTCTCTCCTATTTCCTGTTCTCAGCAGACTCACCCAGCTTCCCCCTGGCTGTTGTGAGCTGCCTGTTCTGACAGTAGGATGGAGTCAGGCCCTGGATGTGTTTCAAATAGCACCCTATTCCCTACAAAGTGCACTACTTTTGACCAGAACCCTGTGGGGCCTGGTCAAGAGTAATGCACTATATAGGGAATAGGGTGCCATTTGGTATGCAGCCCCTATGTAGAGTCAGGCTTCCCAGAGAGACACAGGGCTGTATAAAAAGCTTAGTACAGGAGAGAGAATCACTCATGCTTTTAAACAGGCCTCTCGCTCTGCTCTGCTCTCTCTGCTCTGTTGCCTGGAATGGATATCCTGACAGAAACAAAGCACTTTGGGAAAGAGGCCATATGCTCATTTAGGCTATGGATGGGTATGATAACCCAGAGTTAGGCCTATGTACGCTAAGCACAGCTTGTCTTGGCTCAGCTCTGTACAGTTCAATCCAAATACACCAGGCCAGGCAGTTTGCTGCCCTGTCTCTCCCAGACCAGGGTTAGATAAACATTGTCTCTAGGAACACGTGGCTGTCCACCGTTTATGTCCCAATGATTGATTGAGACGACAGGGCCTATGTGACAGTGAGTAACGACAGGGCCTGGAGCCTGAGCCCGCTACCCAATAAGACAGGCAGGGAGAGCGGGAGGGAGAGTGGAAGATGTATGGAGGAGACCAGGGAGGACCCAGAGGTCGCCTGTTCTCTGCCTGCTCCAGGCACAACTCTGACTGGCTGTGATGGATTGAAACCTCTGGTGTCATCTCTTTCATTCCCCAGGGGCGTCAGGACATTGGGTTTACTGTAAATATGATTTTTAGAGTTGTTTTGGTTCACTGCCGTTTCTGAAAAAAATATATATTGTGTTCTATCTCTCTCTCTCTCTCTCTCTCTCTCTCTCTCTCTCTCTCTCTCTATTCCTTTCTCAGGGTGACTCAGGTGAAAACGGAGAGCCTGGTCTTCAGGGAGAACTTGGCGGACCTGTAAGAGAACCGACAGCACCTTCACACCACCATTCATCATCCAACAGAACAACAGTTTCAACACAGCCCCACAACACCCCACTACAACTCCCCATCACTGCCTCCATTGGAGAGAAGGAATTATTCTGCTGCAAATGCAATAAACTTACCGATTCATATATTTATTATAACAAAACATCAGAATGAGGCTATTCCTCTTCACCATTACCTTAACAATAATTGAATCAATTCACAAAGTTGTTATTAAAACCATTATAGAGGAAAGCCGACCAACCACATGGAGTGTGTTAAGCACAGTTCTACTGGGCATTGACATGAACACATTATTGACACAGTAACACACTGTTGACACACTAACACACTGTTGACACACTAACACACTGCCCCACTGTCACAGGGCCCAAGAGGAGAGCGAGGAGAGAAGGGAGAGGCCGGTCCTGCAGGTTCTGCTGGACCCTCCGGCCCTAAAGGTCCCCCTGGAGATGATGGTCCTAAAGGAAGTCCTGTAAGTCCTGGTTACACTTCTCTGTAGAGTCACATATCACAGTTGATTGATTGATTGATTGATTGACTGATTGATTGCAGTTGTGTCCTGTTACTGCCATGTGAATGTATTCCAATGGATGTTGTGGATGTGCAATCAATTGTCAGTGGAAGGCAAAGTAAGATGTAGTCTCTTTATGTGTTAGTAAGTTCTCTCTAGAGTAATTCTAAATACTGAGCATTTTGTTGGATTTCATTTCCAGGGTCCAAGTGGTTTCCCTGGTGATCCTGGTCCCCCTGGCGAGATCGGACAAGCTGTAAGTCACTGAAATGTTACAATGATATTGTTTTGGCATCCAGTTACTGTAATGCTTTGGTACCTATTGAAATTTAAAAAATCCCAAAACTGTGCCCTATCCATTCAGTGTCATGCAACTTTTACAATGTCTCTCTTTCTCCTCCTGCCAGGGTCTAGACGGTCCTCCTGGTGACAAGGGAGACGACGGAGAGGCTGGTCAACCTGTGAGTCTCACCTAACGTATTACTACACCTGTTTAACGACAAACAAGCATTAACAAATGTAACATTTCTCATATCTGAAGATAACTACAGTAAAGATACAAGTGCTGTAGAAGAGCTTTTATCACTAAGTCACTCATCTTTTTTTCTCTGATCATGTACTTTAACCTTATCCTTTCTCACCTTTTAGGGTTCTCCTGGACCCACTGGAGAGTCAGGTCCTTCTGGTCCACCAGGAAAGAGAGGCCCCCATGGTACAACTGGACCCGAGGGCAGGCAAGGAGAGAAGGGAGCCAAGGGAGAGTCTGGTCTGGAGGGCCCACAGGGCAAGACAGGCCCCGTTGGGCCTCAGGGAGCACCTGGCAAGCAAGGTTCTGAAGGTCTCAGAGGTATCCCTGGCCCAGTTGTAAGTACAACATTGTTTCATATTTTCAGTACTTTGTGTCATAGCTATTACAGTAACTAGGGCATTTGTACAACACTCATAGATTATTATAGTGACTGATCTACAAAAGCCATTTCTAAATCACACAATAAGCGTAAGGGAATCATACCAATAGTAAGGTGGGTGCTTACATGTGTCCTATTTCACACATGTATAAGTGTGTATTGGAAATGTGTTTTTTGCATATCCCCCTGAGAGTGTGGTTACAGCCATGGTCTGCCAATATCAACAGTGACCCACCTTGTCGGCTGGGGGATTCGAACCATGACCTTTCAGTTACTGGCCCAATGCTCTAACAGCTAGGCTACCTGCCAACCTTACATTGTATGTGAAGATCTGTCGGTTAAAGCATTGACTTGTATCTTGTTTCCATGCAGGGGGAACAAGGTCTTCCAGGTTCCTCAGGCCCAGACGGACCCCCTGGACCCATGGTGAGACAACTAACCTCTGACCCCTAACCCCTTACCCGTAAACCCGGGTCATTGGATGTCACAGGATTCACAGTACCTTGTCTTATTGGGTCAGACGGTGAAGGGGAGAGTCCTCACTCTCTGTAATCGACCTCTGTTAGCGCACCCCCGCCGGCAGCCCCCGACGGCGCACCCCCGGCCGGCCAGCCAGCGGACAGGCGACACCCCGGCCGGCCAGCCCGCGGGACGGCGCGTACCCCCGGCCGGCCAGCCCGCGGACGGCGCGGACCCCGGCGGCCAGCCCGCGGGACGGCGCGACCCCGGCCAGCTCGCGCGACAGGCGCGACCTCCCGGCCGGCCAGCCGGCGTGGACGGCGCGACCCCCGGCCGGCCCGCGCGGGGACGGCGGACCACCGGCCGGCCAGCCCGCGCGACGGCGCGACCCCCGGCCGGCCAGCCAGCGGGACGGCGGACCGCCGGCCGGCCAGCCTCGCGTGGACGTGCGCGACCCCCGGCCAGCCCGCGGACGGCGCGACCCCGGCGGCCAGACGACTGGGCGAGAACGCGACCCAGGCCAAGCCCGCGCGACGGCGCACCCGGCCGGCCAGCCGGCGGACGGGCGACCCCACGGCCGCCCAGCCGCGGGACGGCGCGACCCCCGGCCGGCCAGCCCGCGGGACGGCGCACCCCCGGCCGGCCAGCCGCGCGACGGCGCAACCACGGACCGGCCAGCCCGCGGGACGGCGCGACCCCCGCCGGAGGCGACGGGACGGGAAAGAGAGGGTAGGCGGAACGCAGGCAAGCGGAGAGCGCGACAAACGAGGCCAGCGGAAAGGGAAGGCGAGACCCCGGCCGGCAAGCCGCGGGACGACGACCCGGCGGCGCTAGCCCGCGTTACGGCGCAACACGGAAGGAATGAACAGGAGGGAGAAGAAAAAGGCGGCCAGCCAGCTGGAAGGAAAAGCGACAAACAGGCAAGGAATGCAAAACGAAGATTAGGACGGAGAAAAACAAGGAGGCAAGGAAGGAGAGGAGAAACACGGCGGAAGAAGCGTCGAAGGGACCCAGGCCTGACAAGCCGCGGGACGGCGCACGCCGGCAAAGAAAGAGTGAAGAGGAAAAGGAAGGAAAGAAAGGGGAAGGCGAACCACAGGCCGACGGAACGACAACGGTTCGGAGGGACGACCCCGGCAGACAACCGAGGTGAGGCGCACCCCGCCGGCCAGCCGAGTAGCGACCCCGGACGGACACGAGGGAGACCACGGAGGCAGAAGAGGATGGAGACAGGCCGGCGATACGTTAACGAAAGAGCAAGAGGTATTAGAAAGCGATGAGCAGCTGCTCTCTCCTCTCTCTATCGTCCGAGGTCTCTTCTCCTCTCTCTTCTCTCTCTCTCACAGGGTCCTCCAGGATTACCAGGTTTGAAGGGAGACTCTGGCATTAAGGGAGAAAAGGTAAATCCCACCCCCTTGTTTCAGTAGGTTATTGACAACATGTAGTATACTGTAAATATTACAGTCAAATATTGACATACCTGTTGCATGCATGGCTAAAAGTTACATACTGTTTGATCTTCTTCCATTGCTAATGATGTTGATGTCTAATATTCTATACAGATATACGTGAAATCTTTCGATAGAGATACTGTATATTCCATACTGTACACATTCAAGTGAATCATAACTGACTGCTCAGTGTTCAAACCTATTGATTATGTATCTGGTATTAGCCCCAGGGCAGTGAGTCATCCCACTAATGATATACGAAGAGAGATTGATTGACAGGCAGATCGATGTGAGTAATTAAATGTTTGATTGATTATTGATGCATGTTTTGATCTGTGTTTCTCCTCTCCTCAGGGCCACCCTGGTCTAATTGGTCTGATCGGGCCCCCAGGAGAGCAGGGAGAGAAGGGTGACAGAGGTCTGCCAGGCCCCCAGGGGACATCAGGACCCAAAGGAGACAATGTGAGCAGACCTACAACTGTTGTTTACATGATTATTGAGCGATGTTTACCTAATAAAAAGTGACATGTTGTGGTTTGGTCTGATAATACAGTTGATCATATCAAGTCAACACAGTTAAGTGTGGTTTGATCCCCCTCTCTTCTCTCCTTCCTGTCTAATTTTCTCCCTCCAGGGTATTGCTGGCCCCTCAGGTCCTCTTGGTCCCCTGGGACCTCCAGGATTACCAGGTCCTCCTGGTCCTAAAGGAGCTAAGGGGTCATCGGTAAGCGTCCCCACAAACTACCATGCCCCTGTCAACCATGTCCTACTGTCCCCTCAAAATCATGTCCCACTGTCCATAGAAGTTGTGTATATGACCTTATAAAGTCTAAACCATGTCCTACTGTCAATAGAGGCTGTGTGTATGATGCTGTTCTGTTCTGTCTTCCTCAGGGTCAAACTGGTCCCAAGGGAGAGACTGGTGTTCCTGGACAACCTGGGCCTCCTGTAAGTTATCTTCATGATTGTGTGATGTCATTACATGTTGTTGTTTTGTAGTTTTACTGCATGTTTTACTATACATAAACTATACGTACTGTATAATGATTAGTTAAGTAAACAAAATTATACTACGTGAAGATTAATAATAGAATACCCTTGACTAAAGCATCTCTCTCCCATTTCTCTCCCTACTTCCGCAAAAGACATCTACCCAATAGCCATTCTACACTACCCACACGATCAAACCAAAGTAACCCGTTCCCAATCTCCTCCCCCTCACAACTCCACTCTTTCCCCTCTCCCCCTCTCTTCTCCGCTCCACCCCCCTCTTCTATCCTCATCTCTTCCCCTCCTCCTTCCCCCCCCTCTACTTTCCCTGTCTCCTCCTTTCCCCCTCTCTCTCCTTCTCCACCCCCATAGGGTCCTCCTGGGGACGTCATCCACCCGCTGCCCATGCAGTCAAGCCCCAAGCGGAGCCGCAGGAACATTGATGCCAGCCAGATGATGGATGAGGCCAATGCAGATGCCAACTACAAGGACTACGACGATGGTATGGAGGAGATCTTCGGATCCCTCAACTCCCTCAAGCTGGAGATCGAGCAGATGAAGCACCCGCTGGGAACACAGGGCAACCCCGCCCGCACCTGCAAGGACCTGCAGCTATGCCACCCCGACTTCCCCGATGGTGGGCATCGATTTGAGATCTGAAATGCTATATCTGACGTTCTCAAGTCTTACTAAGTTTGGTGCTGAAGCCCCGGAATAATCTTGTTTGAAACTTGTTTGGAAAAGGTGGCTGGTGCTAGCCATCTTTTTCATACAGGTGGGGCTATTTTATACAGGTCAAAGTCAATATTAAGGGCCAAGTGTCACTACTATAATGGATTTAAATGTGATAGAGAAATAGGATTATAAATATGATTGGTATTTGATGATATTGCCTGTCATTGAGTGTAAGTGGGGTGTAGAATAGTCTCTCTCCTTGGAATGCTAAATCATGCTAATTTAAACATTGAATGATCTCTGATGAAAAGGTTTCTAATTGTTAAGGTTCCCTCCTTCTCTCTCCTTCCCTCTTTCTTTTCCCTCTTCACCATTTTCTCCCTTCCGCCCTCCCTCCCTCCCTCCATTTCTTGTCATTTTCAGGTGAATACTGGATCGACCCCAACCAGGGTTGCTCAAGAGACTCGTTCAAGGTTTACTGCAACTTCACAGCAGGAGGAGAGAGCTGCATCTACCCTGATAAGAAGTCTGAAGGGGTAAGTCATGGCGCTTTTACACACACAACTGGTAAAATTGTCAGATTTTGAGAGCCAATGATAGAAATTCAGTGGGAGAAAATGCTTAAAATAAATGCTTAAAAACTGTAACCGTACACATTCGAGAAGTTTTGGTGGATATAATGAGGGAAATATTTACAAAATATTAAAATTCATCATGCCTGCATGTTATGGTGATATTTATGGTTGATTAAAAAAGTGTGTATAAAACAATCTGTCTACATTGTTCTGTCAAGTGTCAACTGTTCCCCATTTGATTGACAGGTTAAATAACTCTGACTGTATGATGCAGATAAGTTAATATTTATTTATTCTTCCCTGGCCCCAGGCAAAGTACTATGCATATAAATCATATATACCTCTCTCCTGACAATACTGCATAATCACATAACACTCATGTATGTAAGATTCATGCATCACTGTTCCTTTACTTGTATGAGTGTAATACCCAGGGTCCTCCAAGCCCCGAGGGGGCAGCAGCTTCATGTAAGACGTTTGGTGTTACACACTACTGACATGTCAAAGAATATATTTGGGGCAGTCCCTCACTGTCAACAGAGAGTCAACGATTCCCTTGCACACGCATGTACATGCATGCATACACATGAACACACACACACACAGTTCTGCCGTACTATCCTCCAGCTAAGTGTCAGCGGCCTAGTGTCGTGCCTGGCCCAGTCACCTGTAATAGGTTATGGCAGGTGACAGGCACCCAGAGAGGATTCTGCTGCTGGTTGGTTATACATGGTGGAGTGGAGAGGAGAGGAGAGGAGGTGTGCGCACACACACACACACACACACACACACACATCCCTCCCTGCTAGCCTGGGACACTGTATCCCAAGTCTACCAATCATGAGTTATGCAGAGGAGAGGATAGAGGAGAGGAGATAGATAGGTGAAGGACAGGAGAGAAAAGGAAGAGTTAGAAGTAGAAGGTATCAGTTGTCTCCTACAGTAGATGGGATCAGTTCTAGGGTATCAGTTGTCTCCTCCAGTAGAAGGGATCAGTTCTAGGGTATCAGTTGTCTCCTCCAGGAGAAGGGATCAGTTCTAGGGTATCAGTTGTCTCCTCCAGGAGAAGGGATCAGTTCTAGGGTATCAGTTGTCTCCTCCAGTAGAAGGGATCAGTTATAGGGTATCAGTTGTCTCCTACAGTAGATGGGATCAGTTCTAGGGTATCAGTTGTCTCCTCCAGGAGAAGGGATCAGTTCTAGGGTATCAGTTGTCTCCTCCAGGAGAAGGGATCAGTTCTAGGGTATCAGTTGTCTCCTACAGTAGATGGGATCAGTTCTAGGGTATCAGTTGTCTCCTCCAGTAGAAGGGATCAGTTCTAGGGTATCAGTTGTCTCCTCCAGTAGAAGGGATCAGTTATAGGGTATCAGTTGTCTCCTACAGTAGATGGGATCAGTTCTAGGGTATCAGTTGTCTCCTCCAGGAGAAGGGATCAGTTCTAGGGTATCAGTTGTCTCCTCCAGGAGAAGGGATCAGTTCTAGGGTATCAGTTGTCTCCTCCAGGAGAAGGGATCAGTTCTAGGGTATCAGTTGTCTCCTCCAGGAGAAGGGATCAGTTCTAGGGTATCAGTTGTCTCCTCCAGTAGAAGGGATCAGTTCTAGGGTATCAGTTGTGTCCTCCAGTAGAGGGGATCAATTCTAGGGTATCAGTTGTCTCCTCCAGGAGAAGGGATCAGTTCTAGGGTATCAGTTGTCTCCTTCAGTAGAAGGGATCAGTTCTAGGGTATCAGTTGTCTCCTCCAGTAGAAGGGATCAGTTCTAGGGTATCAGTTATCTCCTCCAGTGGGGTCCCCTGCTGCTCACTCCACTCATGCTAGGAGAGCTGAAAGTGCCTTTCAAGACAGCAGGGTGTGTTTAATGTATGCTGTCTCCCAGCGCTAATTGATCTCTAGCTGAACATTCATTAACACATTAAGGCATTGATGACAAGCCCTGTATAAACCTTGTATCCGACTCATCTAGCTCATTACTGAAGTATAATAATATTCAGAATATTATCACACTGGAGTACCACTGGCCATTAATGTGATAGATCTTAATGGGTAGATCTTCAGCTAAAGCTGAATAGAATTTAAATGAAAAAAATATATATGTTTACTTCTCGATGGCTATACAGCAGACTCTTAACAGCTTTTTAATTGAAAAGTGACTTCTTGTTGGCTATGCAGCAAAAGCTTAACTAGTTTTAAATGAAAACCAGAAAAACAAAGCGACTTGTCTTTACCTACAGTATACAGCAGAAGCTTAAATGAACACCATAAAACCATAGTCACTGCTATATTGGTATAGAGCTGCATTAGAACTACCAATAAGTATCTTAGTTTTTCCCCATTCTGCTCTATACCAATATAGTAGTGACTATGGTCCTCTGTAGCTCAGCTGGTAGAGCACGGCGCTTGTAACGCCAAGGTAGTGGGTTCGATCCCCGGGACCACCCATACACAAAAAAAATGTATGCACGCACGACTGTAAGTCGCTTTGGATAAAAGCGTCTGCTAAATGGCATATTATTATTATTATTATGGTGTTCATTTAAGCTTCTGGTCAAAAGCAGTGCACTGTATAAGGAATAGGGTGCCATTTAGTATTCATACAACATCTCTTAATGAATCACTGTGTACTCATTAATATTTGATCAGTAATTAGCTGCCAGCCAATGTTTATACAAAATGTGATAATGGCTTGCTAAGGTATTTTACACTGTCCCGAGCTGTTCGGTGTCACACAATACTACTGCAGGTCTCTCAGACGCCACAGATGGACCAAGGGAGGGAGGGAGGGTTTAGAGGGGAAGAACGAGGGATGAAGTTGTTCTTTCTTTCAGGAGGCTGTTCTTACTGTTTTTCTTTCTTTAACCTTCATTTTTTGTCCTCCTCCTCCTCTTCCCCCCTGTTTCGCTCTATCCGTACCCCAGACTAGGCTCACCTCCTGGGTAAAGGAGATCCCTGGCTCCTGGTTCAGTGAATTCAAACGTGGTAAACTGGTAAGCCCCCCTGACGCCCCCCTTCCCCCCGTCCCCTTCCCTTTTTCCTGAACGGCTCATCTCATATTTTACAGAGCAAAATGGCAAAATGGCCCAAAGACACCCCAGGCTCTTGGTATAGTCGCTACAAGCGAGGTTCTCTGGTAAGTGGCACGCCCACAGGTCTCTGGAGGCCCAGCTAGGGTGACTCCTGGCTGGGTCTCTGTGGGCCTGAGGGCCCTGCATGGTTCTAGGTTCTGGTTCTGGTCAGTACTGGTTCTGCATGGTTCCTGTACTGGTTGGCACTGGTCTTTGACTGGCACTCTGGCTTGTGGTTGTGGCGACACTGCTCTGCATGGTTCAGCACGATCAAGCTCAGCTCAGCACACCTTCAGTAAGACATACTGCAGTAGGTGAAGTCTCTTCCTTCCAGAATAGAGGGAGACATAGTTGGTGGAACAGACAGACTGGCAGACATACTTTACCATGGCAACTAGTAGTTGAAGAAGTTAAAGACAAGTTTCCATTGAAGTTCAATACAAAAAGGTAAGTGTAGTACAAAAAGTCATAGAATTGAGTAAATCATAGTGTGTTGGCACTGAATGTTGCCATGGGAAAGTATGAGTGTAAATGCATCCACTCAACCTGCCTCTCTCTGAAGTTGGAGAGCATCACCTAGAAGTGACTGAGTGCCTCTCACAGTTAGACACACATTTCTATTTAAACACAGTTACAACAACTACTCCTATTGCCCTCAGCATTTCCAGCTGACTCATAGATACTCTTACTGTACAGATACCTATTCATAAATCATGTGAAAGCTAGTCACAGGAGAGTGATTGGGCACCATTTTGTTCCTGCTACACTCATTTCACACATTCACCTTCTCATTCACTCACATCAGGATTACGGTAGGTAACAATACTGATTCAATGTGAACAGTCAAAGGTCAGGCACTCAGTCACATTCCCAGGGGCTTCTGGGTACACCCAATTTTGACTTGCGGCTGCGATGAAGAGGTAATGTTTCCATGGCGATGTAGGGCTGTTTCTACACACTGGTTCTGCGAGGCAGAGCGGGGATGAGGGAGGGAGGGGAGGAACAGACAGAAGCAGGGGAGGATCTACCTAGCCTTTCTGAGTACCTGGACACTCACAGGGGTGAGGGGTACTACTCCCTTTAGGAGCCACTGATTGACAGACAGACAGACAGACACTGTTACTTGGACATAATGGATATAGTTATCATTTTTATGAGCCCAAATTCCTATCTGATGATGGTGTGGCCAACTGATGATGGTGTGGCCAACCAAATTCCTATCTGATGATGGTGTGGCCAACTTGTGGGTACCTGAAAATACAGTACAACAGATTTGATTGGCTTCCCTCTAATAGTAATCTGTAATGTCCATTAATGTCCAGGTTGAGTCGTGTGTGTGTGTGTGTGTGTGTGTGTGTGTGTGTGTGTGTGTGTGTGTGTGTGTGTGTGTGTGTGTGTGTGTGTGTGTGTGTGTGTGTGTGTGTGTGTGTGTGTGTGTGTGTGTGTGTGTGTGTGTGTGTGGTGTATCTATACACGCACACACATTAGTGGCTCTCTGCTTCGACTGCATGGCATGGGCATTGCATGCGCTTGGCTCTTGGTCTGAGTCAGTCCTGTTTGTCTGAAAGAAGAAGAGAACCCTGTGGAACTGATGGTGGAACACTGCTGGTTGGTATGGAAACGGATCTCCAGCGTAAAATAGCATCACACCAAAGACTGATGTTCACACATGGACGGGTCATCAGGCATGATTAGTAATCATTAGAGACTAACTACATTAGTATAATAGAACACATGTTGGTTTAGTATTCACTTTAACAAGGCAAATTAGGCTAATTCTAAATTGCGGAAACCGATTAAACCATTATTATTTTTCATTTATACAATTACGTTTTACATTTACTAATGGGCTCGTATCAAAACAATACATTTCCAGAATTTCTTAATTAAAGCTAAAGTGTTCAATTACGGTTAGCTCCTCGATTGAGAGTATTCGTCGCTTGTACATTGCTAGTAGAATGCTATTCCTACAGAACCATTGTAGTCTTTCAGCAGAGAATAAGTCCAGTCAATATCTAAGGCCCCAGAGCCTGTAGATTAAAGCTCCTGTAGTTACCCCTGTCTGCCTTACTGTTTCTCAGACACGAGCTTGCTCAGAGAGACCCAGACAGACAGACAGACAGACAGACCTCATAATATAGCAAGCCTCTCCATCTCTCCCAAAGCTGGTTGATGACAGCCTAGATATTTCACTCTAAAGGACCTAGCCGGAACACCTCTGATATATCCCCCCGCCTGATTTGTCGTCTGAGGAATCGGAATTGTATCCTACTCACGTAGCGCCACCGTGAATTATGGGTAATGAAGCTTAGCATACCCTCTGGAGACGAGCCGGCCACCGTTGATCTTCTTACCTACAACCCCCCTCTCTCCCTGGTGCTGCAGTGACTGATGGGACAAACCCATGTCGCGGCGCACTGCGCCCACCGATTGACATGCCATAATTCTGTCAAAGCAGCCGTTGCGCCAGAGAGAGAGGTGAGGAATGCTGACATGTTTGAGTGACGGTGTGTCATTGCACTGAGTCCGCCACGATGCTGCATATACCTACAGTCTGCTGTCTGCGAAACACTCCGTCTAACATCACATGAAATCGTATCCCCACGACGACATTACTAGGTGTCAGAATTAGAATTCACAGATAAAAGTGAGAAACCCTCCCGAGACACCACAGTACATGAGAACGGTGTGATGTGTAGATTTGAGTGTTCTTGGTAAAGAACACACAGTAAAGCAATGTTGTGTCTGAAATGGCACCCTATTCTTTAAATAGTGTACTACTTTTCACCAGAGCACTGCTCAAAAGTAGTGCACTATTTAGGGAATAGGGTGCCATTTCAGATGCACCCAAATATGTATAGTATGTATGTATAGTGTCTGTATTAGTCGACAGTGTCTGTTCCGGCCGAGACCCTATATCCCCTTTCCTCCCTGTCTAGCTCTCGTACGTGGACGCTGAGGGAAACCCCATTGGTGTGGTCCAGATGACCTTCCTGCGTCTGCTGAGTGCGGCCGCCCGCCAGAACCTCACCTACAACTGCTACCAGTCGGTGGCCTGGCACGACCAGGACGGGGACTCGTACGACAAGGCCATCCGCTTCCTGGGGTCCAACGACGAGGAGATGTCCTACGATAACAACCCCTACATCAGAGCCGTGGTGGACGGCTGTGCGGTGAGTGGATGGAAGGGTGGGGGAAAGTGTGTGTAACGGGTGGAAGAGTGTGTGTGTAAGGGCATAGGTGTGTGTGCAGTGATTTGCTGGTCATGTGTATAACGGCATGTGTGTTTTGTGTGTCTGTGTGGGGAGTGAATTGTGTGTCTATGTGGGGTGGGGGGAGTGAATTGTGTGTCTGTGTGGGGTGGGGGGAGTGAATTGTGTGTCTGTGTGGGGTGGGGGGAGTGAATTGTGTGTCTGTGTGGGGTGGGAGGAGTGAATTGTGTGTTTGTGTGGGATGGGGGGAGTGAATTCTATGTTTGTGTGGGGTGGGGGGAGTGAATTGTGTGTTTGTGTGGGGTGTGGGGAGTGAATTGTGTGTTTGTGTGCGACTGTGTGTGGTTTAGAAAGAGGTATGATTAATGTGAATAGTAAGCCTCTACACAGTTTCCTGTTTGTTTAAATGATTTAAGATTTGATGTAAAAAAATAAACTCTACTGTATATAGAGGTCGAAGTACAGTAGCACTTTCTCACTATGTCTCTCCCGCTCTCTGTTTTTCAGCTGAAAAAGGGCTATGAAAAGACAGTACTGGAGATCAACACACCAAAGGTGGAACAGGTGCCTTTTGTTGACATCATGTTCAACGATTTCGGCGGAGCTACGCAGAAGTTTGGATTCGAAGTGGGTCCTGTCTGTTTCATCGGCTAAGACTGTTTACTGAACAAAATGGAGAAAATAAAAAGCATCTTTGTTTTCTCAGAAACAAAACACATGAATAGGACAATTTGTATTTGTGTAAAACATTCTGTGTCCAAAAGCAACAAGTATGAATAAAATACACAAAAATCAAGATGAGAATACTACAATAAATTTCTAGAGGATTTGATGTCAAAAAAAAAAAAAAAGAGCAACCTTGTAACCTCAGTGTGCCTTCTCCATCACATGAATAAGTCAGATACTACCGACCCCTATCTTCACCACTGACCCCTATCACCGATCCCAGCGCACTTGATGTAGATCCAGTCTGGTTGTCCAATGCACCGGAGGCAAACCTTTACCTGCTACTCCACTGGTTTCAGAAGGTTGCCATGGACTCCATCCCATGTGGCAGGTTGCTTCTTTGTTTGTTTTTTATCGGTTTTTGTCATTGTTGTTTTTTGTCTCCCTCTCAATTCCCACTTTGAATATTTTATTCATTAGTTCATTCATTCGCTCATTCATTCATTTTGGAAGCTTTGTTTTGTGCATAATTGTCTCCCCATTCTTCTGAATGGAACTTATATATATAAATATATATAAATATTTTTTGTATGTTTGTAAGTACTTTCTGTATATTTTTCCTAGTAATGTTTATTGTTTCTGGCTTCAAAACATGCATGTGACCTTTTAAGACATGAGGTAAGAGATGATGGTCATTGGAATACATCAAATTTGCAGATACTAGAGTAAGGAATTGGACGTGTAAATTGGAGAATAGATGAGGAGTGCTTGTCTTGTTGCTGGGTGTGAAGAACACCTTATTGTAATTTAAGAACCGAATGAAAATAAAATATGGAAATAATACTCTGCGCTAGTATGTGAGAGTTGATTAGCATAAAATAAAATGTGTCAAGAAAAAAACCGACAAAAAACATTCCTCCTCTTGTGTCCTCTATTTTGGGTGCATTTGGAGATTTTATTAACTTAATAAACAACTTTGATATTTTTTTCTTCAATACTTCCATATTTCTACTCTATCAAACTATATATGCAACGGGAGATGTCACTTTTCAATGAAACACAAGAAATCAAGACTTAGGTGCTATTTTCTCTCCTGTGGTGCTATGATATTTTCAAGTTTGTTGTTATTTTGAAAGTACAGTAAACTGTTGGTGGTGATGTTAACCTGTCACCATGACTACCCTGTCTGTCCCTGACCCTCTTAGCCCCTAACCTCTGACACAACATCTTCGCTACATTCTTATTTATGTCCAGGGGCGTTTTAATGCATGCCAGTTTGCTTCATATTCATTCATAGATCAATGCAGTATTTTATTTTATGTATTTCTCTGCTTCCAAGGCCCACTTAGTAAAAACTAACAGCGTCTAATCAAACTGCAACTTACTTGGAATGTGATAATAGAAATAAGATTGTACTCAGTTGCCGAATGTGGTGCTAATTTATCTAACTTTCTTAGATGTCTTAAAAAAAAAAAGAAAACGGTAGAAGCGATGCTGCAATGCTTGCATATCATGGTTCCAAGACTTGGAGCAATTTGCGAATGGATCTCAGTGATTGGTGTTATGTGCAATGGATCATCTTTTTTCACTTCGCCAAGCTTTTTCCTGCTATCCTTTTTCGGGGTTGGGGGTGAAGGTGACTGGTTTGGAAGGGGTACGGAGTGTCTTCCCCGTTGAGTATTCCAAAGCACATGGCCGAGGAACAGTTTGGAGTTTTGGTACCTGAAACCATTAACTTTCTTACCAAAGGCTTTCTTTTTATATTGCTTTAAGTTCCTACAGGGCCAAGAATCCACTACGTATTTTGGTATCCACTATTTGAAAATGTGGCAGAATTGTCAATGATGATTAAAATCAGATGAATCATGTACAAGTCCAAAAAATATATTAAAAAAGTTGTTTTGAACGATATCAGATAAGCCCGCTTATAGGTAGAAAATACAGATGCAAAGCTTGTTTTTGTATTGTTGTTTGGGGTCTTCTGATTTAACTGTTGGTTTATTTTCTTTAGCCCTAGTTATCCCCTTTGTACAAACTATGCACTCTGCCTGCTTTTGACCACTACAGCATCTACCACAGACATTTTTACTGTCCTGCATAAGTAGCTAGTTTTTTGTTATGTTTTTTGTTTTTACCTTCTAGATATGTGACTTGAACCATTTATGTTAAGATAGCTCAATACACTTATTGATCATCAGTTTTTAATGTTCATTTCGATGAAGCACGCCAAATTTAACGTTAGCTCTCAATAAAAGAACAAAACATTTTTGTAAATTTTCAGAACCAGCAGTAATGCTGCCAATCATTTTTTTATTTTTTTTATTTTATTGTTTTACGTTTGTCTGTTTGTTAGTTTTTATGGTCTTGTCAAACCTGTGTAAGAGAGGATAGAAGATATATTGGTTTTTATGTCAATAAATTCAAGTTTACTGTGGCCACCCACTCTTGTATGTCTTTTGAAGCATTAAAACCTATCTGTATGCATGAAATTGTAAGGTTTTTTTCTCTTGTTTTTATACTTTATAATGACATGATCTCCAACCCACCTTTTATTAATAAAATAGATAGAATGCTAAATTTCATATGATAAAATTGAAAACGGTCATGTCCATAATTGTGAAGTGGAGAGAGAATGGTGATATTGTAACTCTCTACCCACAGCCAATGTTAATTTGTAGTATATTTATTGTATTATTTAAAAATAAATGTAAATTGATACCGTAGTATTACTGGAAGGCGCCCTCTTTATCTCGGAAACAGAATTATTTATCGTTAAATGGTTTTCAGTCACAATTTGCAGTTTTTCTAAATGAAATATTACTGCAACTCCCCTAAACACTGGTGTTATGGTATCCTACCTTGATCCAAAAATCCACCATCAATGAGATGTGGACACAAATATGTTTTATTCATTTTTCTCATTCTTTTATAGACTGTTGGAAGACTATCATACCTAAACATTAAACGTTAAAAAAGTGAAGTTTAATATATATATATTTTTTCATAGTTATAGAATCCACAGTTAGAATATGATCTTGCGAAGCAAAACATGTTTATAGTAAGTGAAGTTACATCATTTCTAAAATCCTTCTTCTGGCATCCTGATTACGACTGAAAATCGTTGCTGTCTTAATGTGTTTTACCACCTCCACCCCTCATTAGAATAAATGTGCATGCAGTGCCTTTTGAAAGTATTCATACCCCTTGACTTAGTCCACATTTTGTTGTGTTACAGCCTGAATACAAAATTTATAAAATATATTTGTTTCTCACCCATCTACATACAATTCCCCGTAACAACAAACTGAATTGTCTTTTTTTAAATGTTTGCACATTTATTGAAAATTAAATACAGCAATATCTCATTTACACAAGTATTCACACCCCTCAGTCAATACATATTAGAATCACCTTTGGCAGCGATTATACAGTGGCTTGCGAAAGTATTCAACCCCCTTGGCATTTTTCCTATTTTGTTGCCTTACAACCTGGAATTAAAATGGATTGTTTGGGGGTTTGTATCATTTGATTTACACAACATGCCTACAACTTTGAAGATGCGAAATATTTTTTATTGTGAAACAAACAAGAAATAAGAAAACAAAACAGAAAACTTGAGCGTGCATAACCATTCACCCCCCCAAAGTCAATACTTTGTAGAGACACCTTTTGCAGCAATTATAGCTGCAAGTCTCTTGGGGTATGTCTCTATAAGCTTGGCACATTCAGCCACTGGGATTTCTGCCCATTCTTGAAGGCAAAACTGCTCCAGCTTCTTCAAGTTGGATGGGTTCTGCTGGTGTACAGCAATCTTTAAGTCATACCAAAGATTCTCAATTGGATTGAGGTCTGGGCTTTGACTAGGCCATTCCAAGACATGTAAATGTTTCCCCTTAAACCACTCAAGTGTTGCTTTAGCAGTATGCTTAGGGTCATTGTCCTGCTGGAAGGTGAACCTCCGTCCCAGTCTCAAATCTATGGAAGACTGAAACAGGTTTCCCTCAAGAATTTCCCTGTATTTAGCGCCATCCATTATTCCTTCAATTCTGACCAATTTCCCAGTCCCTGCCGATGAAAAACATCCCCACAGCATGATGCTGCCACCACCATGCTTCACTGTGGGGATGGTGTTCTCAGGGTGATGAGAGGTGTTGGGTTTGCGCCAGACATAGCGTTTTCCTTGATGGCCAAAAAGCTAAATTTTAGTCTCATCTGACCAGAGTACCTTCTTCCATATGTTGGGGAGTCTCCCACATGCCTTTTGGTGAACATCAAACGTGTTTGCTTATTTTTTTCTTTAAGCAATTGTCACGTCTCCTCCCGTTGCTCCCCTCCGGCTCTCTGATTCGCTTGTGTACTGATCCACCGGTCTGAGCGCACCACCTCGGCAACACCGGAATGGAAACCCAACGCACCCTAATCACCTCCAGCGCACCTGCACCTCATCATCTCATCACCATCCCTGTACTGTTCAGTGTTTTGTTGTGTGTGATTGTTAGTGTCATGTCGCGTACTCGCTCTTTGTTGTTCTCTTGCTCAGTGTTAAGTAAACCTTTACATTGTTGATTCCTGCGTCTGCGTCCTGCCTCTTCGTATCCTCAGTACTCGTCACAGAAACACACACCCTTCACGAAGATTGATGCAGCAGGTAATCCTCCTGGAGTTTCCCAGCGCCTCGACCAGCACCAGCAGCAGTTTGCCCAGCTGAACGCCGCCATGCAGGAAGTGCTCCAAACGCCGCATAAACTGACCATCGCTCCAGTTCCACCTCAGGGAGCAGCGAGTGTACCCAGTCCACCTCCTCTTGTGCTATCACCAACGTCTGAGGGACCCCTCGCCCTGCCGGAGCGCTATGACTGGAAAACGACGAAATGTAGAGAATTCCTGTTACAGGTCTCACTGTATCTGGCGCGTCAGCGTGGTGCATCTCCATCGGACCAAGCCAGGATAGCGCTGGTGATTTCGCTACTGAAGGGAAAGGCGCTGGATTGGGCCACGGCAGTCTGGGAAGGAGGTGAGGCCACGGCGCTTCCCTACTCCACCTTCCTCGCTCAGTTCAGGGCGGTGTTCAATCATCCCATGGAGGGAAAGGACAGGGGTGAGCGTCTCCTCCGGCTACAACAGGGAGAGGAGGCCGCATTCGAGTACGCCCTGAGCTTTCGCACGATGGCGGCGTCTTCCGTCTGGAATGAGCGTGCTCTGCGCACGGCCTTCAGGAGAGGCTTACAGGAGGACATCACGACGAAACTCGCATGTCGGGACGATGAGATGGACCTTGATACCCTCATCGCCACGTCCATTCGTCTTGACGACATGTTGAGAGACTGTTATAATGACTTTTGATACAGGATTCTTAATGTTTGTAAACTCCTAAGCTGCATGTAGGAGAGGGGACAAGGACACGCCATGTGTTATAGAGGTCACTGGTGAATGACAGAGGGTCGGTGTGCAAAGATAGATTGGGGGCCACTTGTGATAATCTTAGAAGGTGTACGTGAGGGAATGGCCTGGCTGGGGTGACATACAATACTAAGTATGTGGATGCTATTGTGGTAGATGAGTGACACTCAATGATGGTTGGCAGATATTGGAAGAAGCAGCTCAGAGAGCATTATATAAACTGAGAGATTTTGTATGGAAGTCATTCATATGAGTCTGTACCGCCTGTCATTGAATCCATTATTGTAACCATTAAATAATGACTGAATCAACTCCCCATATGAGTGTCGGCTACTCTCTTGCATCATGAACTTCTCGATACTAGAAACTCATCATAACAGAGACCGACGGCATTCCCTACACCCCCCGGAGCCTCGACGCTCACCCCATCTGAGCTATGGAAGCCGTCCTGCCTCCGATAGTTTCCCACCGTACCACTGCCTTCTCCACTACACGTCACCTTGATGGACAATAAACCACTTGGATCAGGCACCATTACGCACGTCACTCTCCCAAAAACCATCACCATTCCCACACTACCGGAGCACCACGAGGAGTTGTCCTTCCACATCGTCACGTCACCCCTTCACCGGATCGTCTTGGGATTGCTCTGGCTCAGACTACACAACCCCACCATCAATTGGATCACCAAGTTAATCACAGCCTGGTCCCCCTCATGCCGGAGGATCTGCCTGCCGGTGGTTTGTTGTTCCACGTCAGTGGAGAGTCCAGAGTCCACCCTCCAGACCAACATTCCTTGTGAGTATGCAGATCTCTCCGATGTCTTCTCTGCCTCCAAGGCTAAGTGTCTCCCTCCTCACAGGCCCTGGGACTGCACCATTGACCTGCTGGAGGGACAACACCCCCCAGAAGAGTCGCATATACTCCCTCCCATAGCGGAGACTGAGGCCATGGAGAAGTATGTGGTGGAGACCCTGAAACAGGGGTTCATCAGACGCTCTACCTCTCCTGTCTCTGCCAGCTTCTTCTTTGTGGCCAAAAAAGACGGCGGACTGAGGCCGTGCATTGACTACCGGGGGCTGAACGCAGTCACCACCAAGTACTGGTACCCCCTCCCTCTGGTTCCGTCGGCCATCGAGCAGCTGCGAGCTGCCCGGTACTTTACCAAGTTGGACCTGAGGAGTGCCTACAACCTGATCCGAATCCGGGAAGGAGACGATTGGAAGACGGCATTCAGCACTACCTCAGGCCACTATGAATACTGCGTCATGCCCTATGGCCTCGCCAACGCACCTTCCATGTTCCAGTCCTTCGTCAATGACGTGTTCCGAGACATGCTGAGTTGACAGGTGGTGGTGTACATCAACGATATCCTGATCTACTCTGCTACATTCGAGGAGCACGTCAGGGATGTCCGAGCAGTCCTAGACATCGTCTCGGACCGCGGCCCCCAATTCACCTCCCGAGTGTGGAAGGCTTTCCTGGAGAAGATCGGGGTCACGGCCAGCCTCACTTCCGGGTATAGGCCTCAGACAAATGGGCAGGTGGAGCGCATGAACCAGGAACTGGGGAAGTTTCTTCATTCCACTGTCAGGACCGGCAGGGTTAGTGGGTGAGGTTTCTTCCCTGGGCAGAATATGCCCAGAACTCCCTCGTTCACTCCTCCATGGGGCTCACTCCCTTCCAGTGCGTCCTGGGGTACCAGCCGGCCCTGGCCCCTTGGACACCCAGCCAGACCGATGCGCCCGCTGTTGACGAGTGGTTCCGCATGGCCGGACAGGTCTGGGACACCGCCCATGTTCATCTCCAGAGGGCCATTAGCCGCCCGCCTGGGGATCGTGTCTGGCTGTCTACTAAAAACCTCCCTCTCCGCCTGTCCTGAAAGAAACTGAGCCCCCGGTTTGTGGGGCCGTTTAAGGTCCTCCGGCAGATAAATGAGGTATCGTATTGGCTGCTCCTTCCCCCTCACTACCGTGTCTCACCCACTTTTCATGTGTCTCTCCTCAGGCCGGTGGTTCCTGGTCCTCTGGCGGATGCCGTCCCCCGGGGTACACTTCACAAATTTGGATTATTTTGTGTATGTCCATTACATGAAATCCAAATAAAAATCAATTTAAATTACAGGTTGTAATGCAACAAAATAGGAAAAATGCCAAGGGGGATGAATACTTTTGCAAGGCACTGTAGCTATGAGTCTTTATGGGTAAGTCTCTAAGATATTTGGACACCTGGATTGTACAATATTTACACATTATTCTTAAAACAATTCTTCAAGCTCTGTCAAATTGGTTGTTCATCATTGCTAGACAGCCATTTTCAAGTCTTGCCATAGATTTTCACGCCGATTTAAGTCAAAACTGTAACTAGGCCACTCAGGAACATTCAACTTCGTCTTGGTAAGCAACTCCAGTGTAGATTTGGCATTGTGTTTTAGGCTATCGTCCTGCTGAAAGGTGAATTTGTCTCCCGGTGTCTGTTGGAAAGCAGCCTGAACCAGGTTTTCATCTAGGATTTTGCCAGTACTTACCTCTATTCCGTTTATTTTATCCTAAAAAACTCCCTAGTC